ATTTGACCATTACTGCCTAAGTAGATTCTCTTTTAATTAGCTTGAATAATCTAGCCCATCTCTTTTCTTTTTTAAAAATTATTTATTTTTATTCTGTTAACATTGGTTTATAACATTATATAAATTTCAGGTGTACATCATTATACATTTCCATCTCTGTGTAGATTACCTCATGTTTACCACCCAAAGACTAATTACAATCCATCACCACACACATGTGCCTAACCCCTTTTGCCCTCCTCCCTTCCCCCTTCCCCTCTGGTAATCACCAATCCAATCTCTGTTTCTCTGTGTGTGTTTGTCGTTGTTTTTGTCTTCTGCTTATAAGTGAGATCATATGGTATTTGACTGTCTCCTTCTGACTTATTTCACTTAGCATAATGCCTCAAGGTCCATCCATGTTGTCACAAATGGCTAGATTTCATCATTTCTTATGGCTGAGTAGTATTCCATTGTGTATATATACCACATCTTCTTTATCCATTCGCCCCTTTTTGGGCACCTAGCTTGCTTCCAAGTCTTGGCTATTGTGAATAATGCTGTGATGAACATAGGGGCGCATGTATCTTTATGCATTCATGTTTTCATGTTCTTTGGATAAATACCCAGCAGGAGAATAGCTGGATCATATGGTAGATCTAGTCTTAATTTTTTGAGGAATCTCCATACTGTTTCCCATAGTGGCTGTACCAGTTTGCATTCTGACCATCAGTGTACGGGTTCCCTTCTCTACACATCCTCTTCAACACTTACTGTTTCCTGTCTTGTTAATTATAGCCATTCTGATGGGAGTGAGGTGATATCTCATTGAAGTTTTGATTTGCATTTCCCTGATAGTTAAGGATGTTGAACATTTTTTCCTGTGCCTGTTGACCATCTGTATATCTTCCTTGGAGAAATGTCTGTTCAGATCTTTTGCCCATTTTTAAAGTGGGTTGTTAGTTTTTTTGTTGTTGACATGTCTGATTTCTTTGTATGTTTTGAATGTTAACCCCTTATCAGATATATGGTTTGCAAATATCTTCTCCCAATTGTTAGGTTGTCATTTCATTTCGTTGATGATTTCCTTTGCTGTGCAGAAGCTTTTTAGTTTGATGTAGTCCCATTTGTTTATTTTTTCTGTTGTTTCCCTTGCCCAGTTAGACATGGTACTTGAAAATATGCTGGTAAGACCGACATCAAAGAGTGTACTGCCTTTGTTTTCTTGCAGAAGTTTTATGGTTCCAGGTCTTACATTCAAGTCTTTAATCCATTTTGAGTGAATTTTTGTGTATGGTGTAAGATAATGGTCTACTTCCATTCTTCTGCATGTGGCTGCCCAGTTTTCCCAACATGCTTTATTGAAGAGACTTTCCTGTCTCCATTGTATGTTCTTGGCTCCTTTGTCAAAAATTAGCTCTCCATAGATGTGTGGGTTTATCTCTGTAGCCCTTCTCTTTCCCTCTACATGTACTTATAAATTGTAATACATTTCTTATCCTAAAAATTATTCCTATTTATCTTTTAATCTCTTAACATTTTAAGGTTTTTAACAGTTAATTTTTAGTTTCTGAGATTTAGCAGTTTCTAGCTTAGTCATGCCTAATTCAGTCAAGTTGAGTATTAAGATACATGGATATATTTTACTACATTTACAATTTAACCTCTAAAATAATGAGGTAAAATTAGGCAAGGTGGTTTTTTTTAGGGAGGAAAAAGTAAAATAGAGCAAATGCTCACTGAATTTTTTAAAAACAAACTTTTTATTTAACAATAATTTTAGACTTACAGAAAAGTTGCAAAGATGATACAGAGGGTTCCCATATACCCTACACCCAGTTTTTCCTGTTGTTAACATCTTGCATTAGTATGGTACATTTGTCACAATTAATGAAGAATTATTGACACATTATTATTAACTAAGTCCTACTATATTCAGATTAAGGTCCTTAGTTTTTACCTAATGTCCTTTTTCTGTCCCAGGATCCTATCCAGGATACCACATGACATTTAATTGTCATATCTCGTTAGACTCTTCTTGGTTGTGACAGTTTCTCAGACTTTCATTGTTTTTGATGACCTTGTCAGTTTTGAGGAGTACTGCTCAGGTGTTTTGTAGAATATTTCTCAATTTGAATTTGTCTCGTGTTTTTCTCATGATTAGATGTGGGTTATGGGGTTTTTGAAAGAAGACCACAGACGTAAAGTGCCTTTCTCATTGCATTGTATCAGGACTACATGCTATAAACATGACTTATCACTGATGATGTTTACCTTGTTCACCTGGCTGAGGTTGAGTTGTCACATCCCTAAACTTTAAAGTTACTCTTTCCACCCCACCTGACTTCTATACTGAATTCTTTGGAAGGAAGTCACTATGCATAGCTCCCCCCACCTTGAGGAGTGAGGAGTTATGTGTTACCTCTCTGAGGGTATAATGTCTACAGAAATTATTTGCAATTATTCTGCACAAAATATTTATCTTTTTTCCCCTAATCATTCATTCATTCACTTATATGGATTCATGGATATTTATTTTATGCTTTGGATTTTAATCCAATATTATGTTATTTATTTTGTTCAAATTATCATAGGTTTTGCCATTGGAGGCTCTTTCAGTTGGCTTCTGTGTCCCTTTGACATAACCTTATCATTTTGCTTCTTGAGCACTTCCTTACTTTCTGGCACTAAAAAATACTCTAGATTCATATTATGTATTCTCTGTCCAAGCTCTAGAATCAGCCATTTGTCAAGGAGCCCTGGTTCTTTTTATTGGAGAATGGTATTAGAAACCAAGATCTGGGCCCTGGGTTTGCTCATTGCTAGTGGGGCATCATTATTTCTGTACCTAACCTGTGTATACACACTTATCTATAATTATTTCTATGCATGTCCACCTATGTATTTATATTAAGATAAACGTGAATTCATAGTGATGTTTCCAACTCTAATCCAGTATCATATGGATTAGTCTCGCCTCCTTCACTCACCTGTGTGTAACTTTCCACTCCAGCAATGAGAAACCTGGTCCCCACTTCACCATCAAACAAATTTACTTATTTGGTAAATTCCAATATACATGTCTAATGGTTTTAGAATGGTTAGCCTATCCCCCATGAGACACACCTTTACCAACTAGAGTACAGTGCTTATGGACAGTTTCTTTTGTCTTTAGTCTTACAGTCTCCATTCATTTTGAAAGTTACCTAGATCAGCCATTTTTACCTTACTCCATTCAATGAGGTTATGTCACGTATTTCTAATGCAGTTAGATTCTTTTGTCACAGTCTACATTATGTCCTGGCATCCCCCAACCTCCTAATTGATTTTTTAAAATTTGCGGTACACTCTTCCTACTGTCCAATAGGTTTTGACAAATGCATAACATCATGTATCCACCATTACGGTATCATACAGAATTGTTTCACCACCCTCAGATATCCCCTATGCTTCACCTCTTCTCCCTTCTTCTTCTCTTCCCGAATCTCTGGCCACCACTGATGTGTTTTCTGTCTTCATAGTTTTGCTTTTTTCAGAATGTCATATATGTGGAATCATACAGTAGGTAGCATTTTTGGACTTTTTTCATTGAGCAATATGCATTTAAGATTCATCCATGTTGTTACATGAATTGATAGTTTGTTCCTTTTTATTGCTGAATAGTATTCCATAGTATGTACGTAGATACGATGTGCATGTATACCAAAATTTGCGTATCCATTCACCTATTGAATAACATCATGGTTGCTTCCAGTTTTTGGTGGTTATAAATAAAGCTGCTATAAACATTTGCATGCAGGTTTTTGTGTGGATGTAAATTTTCAGATTTTTTGGGAAAATTCCTAGGAGTGTGATTGCTGGATTTTATGCTATGAATATGTTTAGCATTATAACTTCCATACTGTTTTCCAAAGTGGCTTTACCATTTTGCATTTTCACTAGCAATGAATGAGTGTTCCTCTTGCTCCACATGCTTTCCAGCAGTTGATATTGTCAGATTTATGGATTTTAGTGATTCTAATAAATATATAGTAGTATCTTGTTTTAATTTATGTTTTTCTAATGATAAATGATGTTGAACTTTTTTTCATATGCTTAATTTCCTTCTGTATGTCTTCTCTGATAAGATTTTTAAGGTCTTTTGCCCATGTTTTAATTGGGTTGTTTCCTTATTGTTTTGAGAGTTATTTATATATTTTAGATTCAAGTACTTTGTCATAGGTATATATTTTGTAAATATGTATTCCCAGTGTGTCGGTGTCTTTTCATTCTCTTTACAGTACCTTTCACAGAGCAAGTTTTGTTTGTTTGTTTTTTTAAAGATTTTATTTTTCCTTTTTCTCCCCAAAGCCCCCGGTACATAGTTGTGGGTCCTTCTAGTTGTGGCATATGGGATGCCGCCTCAGCATGGCCTGATGAGCAGTGCCATGTCCTCGCCCAGGATTCGAACTGGTGAAACCCTGGGCCACCAAAGCAGAGCGCGCGAACTTAACCCCTCGGCCATGGGGCTGGCCCCTAGAGCAAGTTTTTAATTTTACTGCAGTCCAACTTATCAATATTTTCTTCTATGGATTGTACTTTTGGTGTTATATCTAAAATACTATCACCAAATCCAAGCTCATACAGATTTTTTCCTGTTTTCTTCTACAAGTTTCATAGTTTTGCATTTTTCGTTGAAATCTGTGGTCCATTTTGAGTTCACTTTTGTGTAAGATATGTACACTGTTGACAAAAATCAGTTGAGTATATTTGTGTGGGTCTATTTCTGGGCTCTTTATTCTGTTCTTCTGTTTGTCCTTTCACCGGTGCCATGCTGTCTTGATTCTTGTAGCTTTATGGTAGGTCCAAAAGTGTGAGTCTGCCATCTTTGTTCTTTTTCAGTATAGTGTTGGCTGCTCTAGGCCCTTTGCCTCTCCATATAAATCTTAGGGGGATGGTCACTGAATTTTAAAAACTAAAATTAAAATGTTTAATCCTCAGAGATGCAGAGTAAATGTGATATTTCTTTGCTTTTTTTCCAGGTGGTTCTTTGAAGCTTTGGAGTATCCTAAATTTTCCAAGGCTAATGTCATCAATGGAATACTCATGACGGTGGTGTTCTTCATTGTGCGGATTGCCCCGATCCCTCCTTTTTATAGCTACATTTATTCTGTGTTTGGAACAGAAGCCTACGTAAGGCTTGGACTTTTACGGCAAAGTGCCTGGATCTGTACTTGTGTTGTTTTGGATGTGATGAATGTCATGTGGATGATCAAAATCTCAAGGGGGTGCATCAAAGTCGTCTCTCTCATCAGACAAGAGAAAGCCAAAAGTAGTCTTCAGAATGGAAAACTTGACTAAAAGTGGGCTATTGATAAGCATACTTCACTACTACCCACATTATATCTACTGATAGGATGAATTCTTGGCATGTTCTTATGCTTCTTTATTAATTATACTTGTTATCCAGGGTTCCAGTGTCTTTTTTTTAAACTTTGGAACAGAGAAACTAAAATTTTTAGTTTTTATCCCAAGATTTGTTTTCTGATTTTCATCTGCATTATAAGCATGGATAAAATCTTAAAGGTTTAAATAAAAACTTATAGTGGTGAATCTTTTCAGAAATCTGTTAACCTGCATTGGTATTCTCTGTGAAAAGATGCTTATGCTAACTTGGTACACTTTGTTTTATGTGACCAATTTTGCTGAAAGATTGGGAACTGCTTTTAAATCTGTAAATAGCTCTCAACATTTTGCTGTACTGCACTCATTTCTTACTATGGCTGTCAATACCTGTTTAGGGTTTAATTTCTAAATTGTTGGAATGTTCTTTTTCTTAGGATATTAGAATGATGTAGTTTTCATTTAGCTATACTGTCATCTATTGGATGAAGTATTTTATTTGCTTTGGGAATATTTAATTCAGTCATAGAAAATACTTCCTGAATTTTTACATTTTTCAGACATCACTTTATTATTTATATTTTTAGCACTTTATCAGATTATTGCTTTTTTATTTTATGCAAAGCTTAAGACAGATTTTATAGAGCTCCTTAAGAGATGAATTTCTCCTTCTAAAGATGCATGTTATAGATGACTATTTAGGCTAATAAGAGGAATCATTAAGAAAAAAGCTTTAACACTGCTGTCTCTATCTGCTTCCCTTATGCTTTTTCCAAGTATATTATTTCTATTTGCAAAACTTCCCCTAAGTTCAGAACCCAACATCATCAGTACCAGTGTCTTCTGCAGTGTGTATGTATCATGCTCATAAGGTAGGCCTCTTCTTGATGAGACCAAAACTACAAAAAACACCAGTCAGCGTTCATATTTTACTCACAGTTTATACCCATGCTTGCTTAGTCAGCACTTTGAGTGCTTTGAATTTCTGTCTTTCCTAAAGGACAGGAAAAAAATAGATGATTTAATCCAAGTATTCTGATGATCAGGATTATTGTCTTATATGACGATACATGACTGGTGACTCTGGTTTCCTGTTTGTTTTTGTGTGTGAGTATATCCTTGCTTCTGCTTTCGTTCTTGCAACCCCAATATAGAATTATATAGTTAGCTATTGGAGCCTTTATTTCTTTTTCTCAAGTGCTTGACTTTATGATTCTTCTTACCTAAGAAAAAAAGAAAGTTATTTTAACCAGTGGTGAATACTTGAATTTAGTTGAACCCAAACGAAAAGATCTAATCCATTCAGTTTCTCAGTTTGAAGGAGAATGTTTGACTCTTTTTCATTGTTTGTGTTATGATGATGAAGGGAGGCTAGCGGGATATAGCAAGACTTTTGGTTTTATTTGATTTGATTTGGCTGTCCAATGCAGATAGAGATAGAGCCTGATAAATTTTAGAACATTTAAGGAAGGTAATTGAAATCTCAGTCAATAAGTAAATGATAAAATGAGGCTCATTGGCTTATACTTGGTACACTTATTTTTGAAGGACTTAAAGTAATGTAAAATATAGGTGTTTGTTTTTAAAGCTACCAATATTGCATTGATGATTTGTTACATAATTTAGTGCCTGCCAGATCATAGGCACTTAAGTATGTATTGGTTGTATAGAGGGGGTAGGAAAGCATGTGGTTTTATCTTGTTCTCTTCTTGCTCTTTTGCAAGAAAACTGGCTTTTTAAAAGAAAAGCATTTATATTAGAAAACTATTTTGGAAATTCATTCCTTTCAAAAGAAACAAAGCATAAAATAAATATTTTTGACTCTGAATATTTCTATAGTTTCTGAACAGAGACTTTAAACCTAACATCAAAATAATGACATTATAAAGCTATAATATTAGTGAGTTTCCATATAGCAGTTTCGGTTTTTCTAGTTGCTATTTCATGCTTAAAGTTTAATTTTTACTTTCATTGACAGCACCTTTCGTTAGTATTGCTGCTCATTAAATAAGTGCATTAAAAATATCAATGTTTTGAACTCAAGTTTGCTATTCCCTTGGTCAGCAATTCTCATTTTATGCTGGCTGTGTGACAGCTAATTCAGCATCCAGATTCAATATCCAAAGGTAGATTCTACATATTTCCGCATACAACAGACATGAAATGGAAAAGAGACCACAAACTGCCAACCTACTTCAAGTCAGATCTTTACAGGAGCTATACTTTGCTGTTCTGTCATTGTGTCCACCTACCTAAGAAACAAGTAAAGAGAGAACATATCATTTACTAAACGATGAATTTTTCATTTAATAAATGATAAACTTTTGCGAGACATTTTACATAGTATTTTGACTACGTTGATTAATTTAATGATTCTATTAGGCACTCCGATGTTTAACAACTGTTAAAGTATTTATGGAAAATAAAAGCAAATTGGTACAAATTTTTAAGCAGCTCTATTTTTATAGAAAAAGATTAGTGACAACCTGTAACTGTAAAGATGTTCTTTGAATGTGTAGTAGATTAGAAAATAAAAATTATTAAAAAATTTTGAAAATGAATGAAAATCAACTAGTATGCAAGAACATAGATTCTGCATTAGATATTTTATTTGGAAGAATTTAAAAATTATGAGCTTGAATTTATAGAGTTTGCATTCTTGTGTCTAAAATCTTTTTAATATGTATTATTTGCATTTGTTTAAACCTCAACATGGAGTTATGTATGAGTGCAAAGAAATTAACTCCTGCTTTGTGTCTTGATACATTATAGTAAATTGAAATGTAATTTTGATTCCAACTGTTTGATTTTGTTATTTCAGGGATTAGCCCTATATTAAGAGAAATAATGTCTTTACCATTCCTAAGGGTACCATTCCTAAGGGACTCATATACTGTGGATGACCCAGTACTGTTATAAAGGCCTAGTTTTAAAAACCGCCTAGTTTACAGGTATTTGAATCAAATTCTTTTCTAAATTTTAATAATCTATTTGACTCAAATCAAATTTTTGCTAAAGTACCAATTTTTAAATTGTACGCTTTCTCTGAGGTGCATTGGGCATTTGGAAAATGTTTCTTCACTGGTGTGAGCAGCCAGCTTTACTGTTAGTTACACCATTTGTTACCATGTGTTCAGAAACATTCTTCTCACGGAGAAATGTAGGGGAAAGTATGCTGTAATACTCAAGTTTGTTCTGTTTCATTTTTAAAGGAAATAAACATGTTCCAAAAGACATTATTAAAATAAATATTTGAACAAATTTCAGTTTCTAGGTTACTCTTAGCTCCAAATATGTAAGTATACATTTGAATTGGCTTTAAGTGGTTTAATCTATTGGATGAAATTGAAAAGTCCACGTAATTGTTGACATTATCACTTATACTTAGTAGAAGACTGTATATTTATGTGTTTTGGATTCCATAAGAAGCAAACTTGTGTAATTTCGTCAGAAATGTGGCACAGTTTCTCAGTGGGTGCGAACTGGCACAGCAGTGAGACCGCCTCCTGTGTCTCACTGTGTTGAGAGGCCCTGCGTGCACACACACCTTCCCAGCCTTAACCACAGCTGGTTGACGACAGACGCACTAAACCTACTGAAAGTGAGTTCTGACCTTAAACACACGTGACACGTATGAATAGCCAGCAGGACGTGGAGTTGGAGGAGACATCATGACTGATGTTCCCTAAAAGCTGTGATGCTCCACCCTCAATCTAGAAGTTTTCTCTCTGAATCCTTCCAGCCCTTCCATCTCTTCCTCCTTAGGACTTCATCAGCACCTCCCCCCTTGTATTGACACCTTTCTATGTCAACTTTTGAGGCCTCCCCATACCTGCCAGCTTCCCCGTCTATTGTGGCAAGTTTAAAAGTTTACAAGTATGTTCTTTCATTGAAAAAAACCATTGCGGTAAGTTTAAGTAGTGATCGGGCAAACCATGATTTACTAAGAGGCTATAGGAAGCCATTTAGCATTTAACAAGAGTGGTTTACAACATGAAGCAAAGCTAATAATGTTATGGTTTTATTGAGAAACATCTGTGGTCTCTTTCTTAAACTGGTTTAGCAATAAGAGCTTTAAAACATATTTCAGCTGGGGGTTCATTGTAGGCATTAAGTTATCTAAATGTTCTTCCTTAGCCCCCATGACAGGAGGAAGAGGACCTGAGGTAGCTCTGTGTTGTGAGGCGGGGGTGGTGGTCTGAGGCAGCCTTGTTGAGTCCTGCTCTTTAATGGAGCAAGCTTAGTTTTGCTCATGTTTCTTCTGAAACAAACTTACCAGCAAATGGATTAGTCAAGGTGTTTTCCAAAGTACAACATCCAAGGACTTGAGCCCTATCCCTTTCTAGCCCAGAGCTCAAACTGCCTCGACTAGCTTTTTTTTTTTTTTTTCATCCTGCTTTGATGATAGGTCATTCTTTTTCGGAAGATATTTTGGATAGCAGCGAAGGACTGAAGGCAGCTGCAAAAGATTGGTTTGTTCGCATCGAAATGTTTACACTGATTCCCCCTGAACAGTAGACTGTTTTGATATTAGGCCCTATATTTAAGACCAAAAACAATGAGAAATATTTCTAAATCTCAAAGATATAAGTACAATACCTCTGGCTGGAAACTCGTTAATCGTCATCTATAATTTTTTTCTTTATATCTTTATGTAATTCTTTCTGTAAATGTGCATTAAGGTATTTGCTACTTCTTGGTTAATGAAGCCTAAAAATATAACTATCAATAAAATATGCTATATATTTTTCTGTTTCTTGCTTGGTTTGCTTCTACTATGATTATGTCTACTTTTTACTTAAGGAATTTTGGCATAGATAATACTCACTTGTAACTAGGATGAGTTATGAGATTTTTTTGGTAATTAGAATTTGTAACAGTATTAACTTTTGGACATAGATTTAATTTGAAAAAGTTACTTGAAAACTTCAGTAAATGTGAGTAGCTATAGTGATATATATACAATTTTTTTCTGAGAATATATAACAATATTGTCATAAAGATTTTGGAAGTCTTTCAAAATACATTTAACATTTTGAGAACACACCTTCTAAAGTTTATTTCCATAAGGCTGAAGAACTTCTATTTACAAAATGTTAGACTTGGTAACTTTCAAATCAGTGTTACTCAGATTTATCAGCAATTAGAATAGCAATTTCATATTCTTCATTTTGGTTTTTGGTTGTGCTTTATTTGAGGGGCTTAATAAATGTCTTTAGGTACTTCCCTTAAAATTTTGAAATGTTGGTATACTTTATTTGTGTGAGATTTTAAAGTATATGCAAGTTCTAAGCAATAATCTGCGTGTTATACAAGGTTGGCATTTGTCATGACAATTTTATTTAATGTTAATTTTAAGAATGTGTATAAAATCAATATCCTATATACATAAATCACCCCTTCCTCCACAATGAAAACCTTGGTATTTTCTTGTGTTAGGACACTACTATAATGTGGTGCAAATCTTTGTATTTTGTGAAAAAATTTAATAAAATCACGATGACTTAGTGCAAAAGTTCGAGTCTGTAAGATGTACACTTTAATAGTAATTAATGAATAGATTGATGATAACAATTCCTTTCCTCAAATCAAACCATCTCTCCTGGCACCTGAATCCTAAAGTTAATATTTATTCTTCAAGGTGCTTGTTTACCCCCTTCCCCCTTTTTTCCCCTCCTTCTCTTCTCGAGGTCCCAGCCTGGTAGCAAATCAGAAGGCATAGCCAACATTTTAGTCATGCTCATTAGTGGCAGGAATGGTGCTATCCAATCAATGGGCTCTTTCAGACTGAGTAGGACTTTGGCAGTTGTGAGTTTAGTCTCCTTCCCTTTGTTCCTTAGGCCTCTCATGTGGTCTCTAGTGTTTTTTGCCCAATGTCTCGGCTGGAATTCCTACCTTCTCAAATTGCCTGTGGTCTTAATGTTGCATCTTGGTCCAAGAATATCCAGTAGATCAGGAAGCGGAGCACTAACTGAATAGAATACTGAAGTGGTTTGGCCTTTGGAGAATATCGTGAGTCATGCTTAAGAACATGCCTAAAATATGTGTCAAGACTGGCAAAAGAACAGCTGAATTTCAGAATTAAAATAGCAGTCACAGCTGTCAGTGGAGATCAGCCATAGGTAAAATTACAAGAATTCAGCACCCCTCAAAGCAAGTGTAAGTGGGTGCTCTCTCCCATACCTCAGGCATCTCAAAGACATCACTCTTTAATCTCCTAGTCTCTAGTCTTTCTCAAAGTCTACTTACTGCTTTCCCTTCCTTTTGGTGGGCCTTGAACCAGCACATAATAAGTGATATGGCCAATTTGAAACTTGTCCCCGTGCTAGTGACTGATCACCTGACAGGTGTTCCTGGATGTTGCCCCTAAATTGGACTCTTCATCTAAGGCCCGTGCACACCCCACCTGCTCTAGTAGCTTAGTGTCTATGGCACAGTGCTCCTAGGTCCTCCCCACCCCAGCCAAATAGCCCCTTCCTCTTTACATCTACCTCCAGCTAAATGCTACTGCCACATCTAGTCTTGTCATTTTACCAAATCATTGAATTTTATCAGTCCAGAAATTATCTGAGGAGAACTCTCAAAGAAGGGGACTTGTAGGCAGAAATGAAAGGTAATGTAGATGGTGGGCTGCGTTTCTATCAATGATAAAGTTCAAAGACAGATGGAAATTGGGAGAGAATGACACAGAAAAGGAGAAAGGACTTCAGAGAATAGGAAAAATAGAGTAAGAAAATGCTATGTACATGTACATTGCATTTTGGGTGACATGAACTTATCAAGAATAATGAATATAGTGAAATTCCTACACATGGTATAAGAATTTTTGTCTTTTCTTTATTAAAATGCAATATATATATTCTTCATTATGTGTGTGTATATGTATGTGTTATGTGTAGGTATGTTGTGTGTGTGTATTGTCTTGTGTTGCTTAATGAAGGGGATATGGTCTGAGAAATGCATCATTATCTGATTTTGTCATTGTGTGAACATCCATAGAGTGTACTTACACAAACCTAGATGGTATAGCCTACTACACACCTAGGCTATATAGTATTAATCTTATGAGACCACCGTAGTATGTGTGGTCTGTTGTTGACGAAAACGTCATTATGCGGCACGTGACTGCATATATACAAGAGAGCATATCTTAGCAGTGTTTTGCCCACAGCCAACAATCAGATGCCTCCATGCAGAGGCAGGAATGAGGAGGCAGCCTTAGTGGAGAAGTGGTCCTAGTGGGCTGCCTGAGTCTGCGGGAAACCCCAAGTCCTGATCTATTATAATTACCAAAAATCAAACTGTGCCCAACAATTAAGCTTCCTGGAATGATTTGTGTTGTCAGGCAGGCTCATCATGAGAGGTTTTAGAAGATGAAATGAGCAGTTTTTAACATATACTGTGTTGTGGATAGAAAAGTTGGATGGATGCAGCACAAGAGGGTAAGATTTGTTTGAATTGTAAATTGGAGAAGAGCAATTTGGAAAGAGTGAGGTGCCTGAGAGGCTAAGGTAGCCGTGAAGAAGTATCTTCATCTCTGTGAATCTTCATTTTGTTAGCTGTAAAATAATGTTTGAAGTATCTCCGACCTTCCTTCCAACTCTCACATCCTATTAGCGAGAGCTTTAATTTGAAACAAGTTAGGAAGGACCAATGTAAGCTTTAAGACTTAGTAATGTGATTAAAATGACATTTGAGAAAGATTCTCAATGTCAGATGAGTGGGAGTACAGGAATAGGTTAGTGATGGAGAAACTGGCCAAACAACTGCAACTGATGTGTGGCCTGAGACAAGGAAGAAAGATAAAAGGACCAGATCTGATAAATATTGCAGAAGGAGAGCCAAAAGGATTTATAAAATCTGAACATGACTCATGAATAAGGCTGTGGAAGAGAGAGGTGACAGATGCCACTGGTTGTGATGTCAGAAAGTAGGGAGAGCAGGCTGGTGGCAGCTTTAAGGGGATGCTGTGAATGAGAGGAAGAAGAGGGAAGTCAGGGTCTGAGGCATTTTGCCATGAATGAGGAAAGAGAAGGTGTAGTAGTTGGAAGGGCAGAGTGGAGCCAGTGGTAGACTTTGAACATAATGGAAATGTGAAGAATTCAACTGGGGGGAAAGAAAGTCTCTCAAAGTGCCTCACTGTTGTGGTTTCAATTGTTTTTCTCATTTCTGACCCACTGCCTTGCCTTGACCCCTTGTATCTGTGTATTCCAGGTTGCTGACTGGTCACTAACCCGTAGTTTTCTCACAATGCTCTCATGTTCTCCACTGTCCTCATGCCTCATTGCTCCCCATGGCGTCAGCCCAGCCCTGACCAGTCAAAGAGCTTGGGAAGGGTCTGGAGATGATGGTAAGAGGCCCAAAGAATAAGGCCCTGCTATGGAGTCTGGCTGCAGATCCAGAAGCTGGAGGCTGCTGCCGATGGAGAGAGCTGCAGCCTTGCAGTGGGAGCAACTCCCTAGGTGGGGTTGTCTGTGGATGGTGAGCAAAGGGGCGAAAGTTCAAAGGGTGGAGCAGAAGCCAGTGCGTCCTGGAGCAGGGGCAGGGTGGCTGCAGTAATTGTGTTAGGTCTCCAGTTCCGGTTTATGAATTAAGAGGTGAAATGGAGAGGCACTCTACAATGTTCCCTCTGCCGTACAGCCTCCCAGTTGGTCTCTCCCACTCTACACTCTCCCTCTCCGTCTATCACACATACTGCTGACTGACTCATTTTAAAATACATCTTTATGTCACAGCCCTGCTCAGAACTTCCAATATTCTACTCCTAAGTCTAAATTCCTTAAGCTGAATTTAAGGTTCTTAATGATTTTACTCTCCCCTATCAATTCAGGTTCCACCAGGTGTGTGCCACTATCTACCACCTGCTCATCCAGCTGAAAGCCTTGCACTCCTGTGCCTCTGGTTTGGGAGCCCTTTCCTCTCACAGATCTGTCACCTACTCATCCACAAGACACACAGTAAGAGAACTGGTTTCTTTTTTCTCACTAAAAACACAACAGACAAACACATCAGGAAGAGTTGAAAGGAATGTTCATTCAATCATTTTAATATTTATTAAGCACTGGCTAGATTGCCAAGTAAGTTCCTGGAACAACCAGGATAAATAGATTCATTCTTGACTGAGCCTGGATCTCAGAACTTCCTGTCCTGGATAAGCTTGTATGGCCATAGCCAAGCTGTTTTGTTTTCTCTCAGCCTAAAGGTCAAAGAAATTAGCTCACCCACCCCCACTGACAGGCAAGCAGTGGGAGCTCAGCCTTCTCAGGCTTCAGAACAGACTTTGATCTTTTTGAGTTCCATCATGGGAAGGCTTTTCATCTGGGAGTCTGGAAACCTAGATTCCAGTTCTGGATCTACCACCTACTAGTGACCATCTTAGGCAAGTGCTTTCACCTTGCCGGCATTTTTTTTCATCTATAAAGGGAGGAGTTGATCTGGGTGAATTGAAGCGCCTTTTTCTTTCAAACTCCATCAGACTATGATAACGGTAATTAGCATCAAGTTTAGGGTATAGCCCTGGATATGGCAGGCTATGAGCATCATTCCTGTCAGACAACAATTCTAGAATATTGGTTTCAGTTGTGTAAGCTTTTGGAGGTGGCTTTAATTCTAATTTCGATTGTGACTATATGCCCTTGAATGCGGCCACTTGTTTATGACTCTGTCTTCCTCACTTCCAAGAAGAGATGGTATCATTTGCAATCAATGAAGCTAGCCAAAAATGCTGAGTATAATATTTGCTGAGTTGTTCAACATTCTTGGGGGAAAGAGATAAAGTTTTAATGATGTACTTTCCCACTAAACTTGAAGCCAAGTTCATTTTTTTCAATACTCTTCCTAGTGTTAACCTTTGGAAGATGTAAACATCTTAATCATGGTATCCAAATTTGGAACACATTTTCTTTGTTTTCCACAATAAAATATCATCAGAAAGGAAAATAGATGATAATGAAAATGTAAAGAGTAAGTTAATTATTCCTCTCTCACCAAAACAAAAAATTTGAATCCTCCGATTATCTTGAGAAGCCCGTTTACCACTAATGCGTCCATTACCTTGGTTGACTCAGAATTCAGTAATCAGCCCATGACCCTAAACGTGGGCTGCTGAGGTTATTTGGTGGGCTTTGTGAAGAGTCAAGGCCGGCATGAACTGGGATGGGGCAATTATTCTGATAATGTTTATTATCTGTGACTTGATTGGGTGGTACTCTTAATTGTTTCCTGCAACTTTATTGGTCTTTAGCTGACTGGTGACGGAATTATCTATACCAAAGATCCACTCTAGATTTTTACAATCAGTAGATGGACTCTCTAAGACACTATATCATGAAGAAAAGTAATGTAAGCAGTAAATCTGCATTGCTCTAGGGGAAAATGTGATGATTGCTTAGCATTGTAATGATCAAAAATAAAAACTAATTAGGATATATGTTTTAAAGAATAGAGTGAGAAAATGGCTTGCCAGAATGTTAATTTTTTTCTTTAAATATGACTAAAATGAAAACCTTTGTAACTTTGGACCATTCTTTAGAAAAAGGCGTCTAAGCTGTTTATTAAAAATGTGAAACAAGAAGGAAGAAAGCTACACTCCATTGTCCATCCCTTTCATGACTCTCCAATCATTAGCTTCAGCTCTTAAATATTCTTACCCTGGGTCTAACCAAATGTTTACATTTTCTATGTTTAACCCAGGCTCCAGAGACCAGCTGGAAAATCATTCAACCTTGTGTAATTGGAGCCACCATAAATTCACGATCTCAGTCATTCACTTAAAAACATTTATCTTCTAGGTATCATGCAAGGCAGAGAGTATAAATGGTGAACAAAACTGTCAGAGTCCTTGCCCAGGGGAGCTGGAAGGGAATAGAGGTAAGGAACAGGTAAGCATGTAGTGTGTCAAGTGGCTCTGTAGGGTGTGTCTTTCCTCCTTGATCCCTGATCTAACATGGTGTTTCACATATAGGAAATCACTCAATCAGAAAACAGCCCCCGCTCTCTATGGGCCAGGTTCTATCTTAGGTCCAGGGATACATCCATGAACAAGGCAGACAAGGAAGGCTCTGCTCTTTGAGAACTTACATTCCAGCAACTGGAAAATGTCAGTAAACAAGTCTGAAAAAAGAAATAAGTATACAAGGTAATTTCAGGTAGTAATAAGTGCTGTGAAAGAAATAAAAGACAATGGCGATTGGGGAGCATTTTAGAAAGGCCACTTTGTGGAGGTGACCTTTTGCACTAAGACCAGGGAGAACCTGCAAGTGTTGTGAAGATCATTCTAGGCAGAGGAACAGCAGGTGCAGAGTCCCTGGCGGGGGGATGCTTTGGTGTGTTCAATGAAAAGGAAGCCAGTGTGATGGGAGCATGGTTAGTGAGGAGAGGAGGGAGGGAGATAGAGTCAGAGCGGTCAGCAGGTGCCAGATCATGTTAGTCTTTCAGCCACTGTAAGGAGTTTGGCTTCTTACCATGCTCAGAATAGGCATTCCAGGTTTTCAGCAGTTCAGATGAGAAATGAAGGGGGGTTAAATGCAGGCTGTCAAACATTTTTTATCACAATCCACAAGAGGAGACATATTTTATTTGGTGACTCAGTACATAAACCGATATTCATAAACAAAAATTTCATGAGACAGTGCCCTCCCTGTGGGTGACGCGCTCTGAGATTTTGCATTTGATATCATGGTAAAAGAAGAAATACTGGTTGTCATTGGTTAAATTGATTTCATAACTCACCAATGGGTTAAACTCACAGTTTGTAAAATGCTGGTTCAGACTAAAGTGCTGATAGTAGAGATGAAGAGAAATGGACAGATTCAAGATGTATTTTAGAAGTAGAGTTGACAGGATTGTTGATGAACTTGTGGGAAGGTGAAGGAAAGAGCCTAATAAATGATGATTTCTATGCTTTTGGCTTGAATAAATGGGAAGATGGTAGTCCTGTATCCTAAGATGGGGAAGACCAAGGAAGGGACAAGTTTGAAGAGAGGGGTGGGGGGAAATCAAGAAATCTTCCCATAACACCTCAAATAATTCTGATGATATATGTTCATGTGCGTAGGGATTTGTAATATTAATTGCTCAAATTAAAAATCAACAATAAAAATATTTTTATGTAAACTCTTAAAATTAAAAATACTTTTTAAACATTAATTTTATTTTCATCATAGAAATAAAACCTGCTTACTAAAATGAAAAGGAAAGAAGTGCGATCCATGGCCTAGCCACACAAAAATGACCACAGTTAATTTTTTAATGTTTTCTTAATGTAACTTTTTCTGTACATGTTTTTTTGGTCATTGCCTAAGCTTTCATAAAGATAATTGTTTGATATTGGAATTATTTAAGCAGTTTAGAGATAATTTGGAGACAGTGAAGGTCATGATCATTGATGCTTAATGAGTAGCTTTGTTTTTGTAATAATAAGGTAATTTTAATGGGTAAGCCAATTATTTAGTCCAATGTTTCTCAAACTTTAAAAATCCGTACATGTGATCGCATTATAATTCCCAACCAGTTTTGGATGTGTGCCCAGATATGGACATATGGACATATATACTCCATACACACTCCGACATCCATCTCTACTCCCACTGAGAATTCTGGATATACAGACTTTTAAAAAATTTTCAAATATAAGATAATTAAATATGCTTGTCCAAGTTACACGTGCCCTTTCTGACCTCCTTCACTCCCTGTTCTGATGCATCCCTCTAAAAGCTACATGCTTAACCCACTCCATGACCTCATTCCTTGATGACCAGTGATTTCATCATGCCCAGTTGGCCTTTCCACACAACAAAGCTTATTTCACAGTTCTGATAAGACTATTAGATCCTGTGTATGTAATAATCTGAAATCCACAAAAATATTTTCTCTTACACTTCAACACTTATTAGTCATTCTCTGTGAAGCACTGTCCTAGGCTTTATGTAAACAAATATGAGGGAGAACATGGTCCCTACCCCCAAGGAGTTTATAACCTCATCTCACTGACAAGCAACTTTTAAAAAATAAACTTTTTATTTTAGAACAGTTTTAAATTCATTGAAAAATTGTGGAGATAGTACAGAATGCCCATGTATCTTAAACCCAGTTTCCCCTTTTTGCTAACATTTATATTAGTATGGTGCATAATTTTACAGTCAATTTAAATCATGCCATTTATAGAATTTTGAATTCTGACCTTTTCACTTTACTTTTTACCTTAAGGATTGTTTCCATTTAAAATGAATATTAATGCTGGCTAGATACTCTAGATATTACTTGTGCCAGCCACCTCATTTACCAGGTGAGGAAATGGAGGTATAGAGAGACCGTACGTGTTTTGGTGAAGATCAGAGTATGGAGTAAAACCACAGCTGCAGGCAGTTATCCTCAGGTCCTCCCATGTCACACGGCTGCTCCTCACCTCGCAGGAGGGATGTCAGGATGTAGGGAATACTCCTTCACGCGTTCCTTCAACTGACAAGTAGTCACTGAGTGTCCACTGAGTATCCAAGATTATTCCGGTGGTGGGAAAACAGTAACGAAGCTGGTCCATCCCTACGCTCCAGGAGTTTACTTTGTAAACGTCTTTGAGTTGAGATCACGGGGTAAAAGGACATTGAGTTTCCGCTTTACTTCGCTGAGGTGGCAGGGATGAAGTGTACTGGAGGACGGGAGCCGAACGTAACTTCAGAGGGTTGGTGTGGTAGGCCGACCAATGGTTCCCCAAAGATGTCCATGTCCTACCCACCTGGATCCAATGTAATCAGGAGAGGCCTTATAAAAGAGGGAGAGAGGCAGGAGAGTCAGAGATGTGACAAGAGATGCAGATGGCAGTGATGGGATTACTGGCTGGAGGCCGCGAGGTGAGGAACATGGCAACCTCTAGAAGCTGGAAAAGGCAAGAAACAGACTCCCCTGCAGCCTCCAGAAGGAAGGAAGCCTTGCCAATGCTTTGGTTTTGTCCCCTTAAGACCTGTTCCGGACTTCAGACCTCCAGAACTATAAGAGAACAAATTTGTGTTGTTTTAAGCCACAAATTTGTGGTAATTTGATACAGCAGCAAAAGAAACTAGTACAGTTGCTAAACTGGCTATGTGGATACTATGTTTTATGAAAAGAAAGAAGTGTTATTAAGATACATAGGATTAGGGGCCAGCCCTGTGGACGAGTGGTTAAATTTGCACGTTCTACTTCAGTGGCCCAGGGTTTCGCTGGTTCGAATCCTGGGTGCAGACATGGCACCACTCATCAGGCCATGCTGAGGCGGCATCCCACATGCCACAACTAGAAGGACCCATAACTAAAAATACACAACTATGTACTGAGGGACTTTGGGAGAAAAAAGGAAAAATGAAATCTTAAAAAAAAAACGATGCCATAGGATTATAGAATGTTACACTCTAAGGTTCCTCTCTGCTCTATCTAACCCAATAGTTTCATTTTTTTTAAGAAGAAAATAATGGTGAAAAAAGAATATATCTGCCAAATGTTTCCTTACTCAAACTGATTATATTACTTTTGATTTGAAACAATAATGTAGTAGCACAATTCATAATAGCCCCATACTGGAAACAACCCATATGCCATCAATAACAGAATGGAAAACCAAATTGTTATATAGTCCTACAATGGAATATGACACAGCAACGAGAATGTACAAACTACAATTACAGGCAATAACATGGATGAATCACACGAACTCATGTTATTGTTGAGCAGATAAAGCCAGATATAAAGAATTAATACCATATGATTCCATTTACATCGAGTTCAAAAACAGGCAAAACTAATCTAAGGTGGTAAAAGTTACCTTGCAGAGGGGTGAGGGGCTGGGTGACGACGGCAGGGCAGGGTGGAGGCTGCTGGGCTTCTGCAGGGCTCTGTTTCTTGATCTCAGTGCTGGCTAAACGGGTGAGTTCACTTTGTGAAAATTCATATGAATTGTACGAACTTCTGTATGCTGTACATCAATAAAATGGTTACTTAAAATGTGTGGTCTCAGTGGCTGTTGTAACAGTGGCTTTATGTAAAGAATATGAGCTTTTAGAGGGAAAATAATGAGCCAAATCCCCTGTGGGGCCCTTTTTGGATCTATTGCCCAAAAGGAGAGCCAACAACCTTCCCTGGCGTTAGACTCTTAGACTTAAACGTTTGTCCTAAAACACATTTGAAACGCCTGTGCTGTACTTACTAACCTATCTCCCCCTCTCTCCCAGAACTCATTATTTTCAAGCTGGTGTTTAAAAATATTATTTAATTGTGGGTAAGTAATCTAGGCTAGAATAGAACTCTTTAATAAGTTAATGATAAATAAAAATTGCCTAATTATGATTTTGTGGAAGAATGAGGCTTTCTGGAGTGCTGGGAATTGTAGCCACTTGGGCACCCCTTATTTTGAGTGGGCTGAAGGTGGAGAGCTGAGCCCACGGTCTGACTAACGAGACCCTTCACACTAAATATTGTGGGGGCATAATTTGTACAAGGCTGGTGAGTTCATTTGTAGAATGCTGGACAATTTAAATACTAAACAATATATAGATTAAATGGTTTAAATAATAATCATTTAAATAATAAACATTCTATATAGTTAATGAAAAATATGATTTTATAAATATATTAAATATGATTTTTAAGATGTGTGTTCCTCACATAATTTCTGACTTCCTGGAAATAGAGAATTTGTAGCTAATGGTTGAATACCTTGGGGAACTCCTTACTCTTCAGAAAACATTGAGGAGAACTGCAATTAAATTTAAGTACGTTCTTTACCCCTCTGATTAGTGCTCTTAGTTTATTGTGTTCTTGAGGTCACTGGAGTGCTGAGCACTTCCAACATTCTCTTATTTTGGCCAAGAAGGATAAGGGCCAGCTCAGTACTTAGAATTCTCAGAATACTTGTATCAACAAGATGATTTCTGCACAAGGTTCATTATCAAATGTCATTGTGGCCTCCAGCTTTTCTTGAATTTTAAGGCTGAAACAAATTTTGGAGGGGCTTATAATTTTATTTCACAGCTTATAGGAGCCCAAATTATAAAGTTGAATATAGACTTACTACAGTTTATTTTTGGCAACTTATTTCCTACCAAAACAAAATGAATGAAAGTTGGTGCTCAACGCTGGTGGAGAATATTAACAATACCACTACCACCTTAAAAACAAACAAATTAAAGGAAAATGATATATAAAAACTGCAGTGCTATCTGGGTAGCTAATAAAGAGAAAATATTGATGCCCTTATTTTTACGTCAAAGCTGGCAGCATTTTTATGTCAAATTAAGTAAGTAATTAAAAAAAAGATGATTTCATATACTACTTTATCCATGCTCGTACTTACATTAAAAAATTAGTTGGAAGAAATTTTCTGACAATGACATGAGATATTAGAGAAGAAAGGAAACAAAAAGAGGAGCCTATCATGGACTACATAAAGTTTATTAATTTTGATTTAAAAATATTTTCCTTATCTCCTCATTTTTAAAGCCCTAAAACACTCATTTATCGGTAATCTAATGTAAGAGCTTTCAAAATAAGATTGCCTGCCTTGCTTCCTCCTGTCCCTCCTCCCCTTCACCAGTGAGTGAGGTAGAGTACCAGACTCGCAGCTCCTCTCAATGTGCATACAAAGCATCAAGGGTTTTATGCAAATTCAGGTTCTCCATTAGGTCTGGGGTCGGTCCAGGGTTGATCCTGGGGTCGACTGGAATCTGTGTTTCTAATAAGCTTCTAGGTGATGCCAGTGCTGTTGCACCATGGACCGGACTTTGAGTAGCAAGGATGGGAAAGAATGTCCATCCTCAAAGAGTTCATGGTCTAGTTACAGCCACTGCCCTTCTCCGCTGTAGTTCAGAAAGGGGCAGCTTATTTTTCAGATTATGTATACAACCCAGATATCAACAGGGAGCTTCTCTCTCAAGATCTCAATAAAATCAGATCAAAATGCATCCCTAATTCTATAGCCTCTGAAAACCCAAAGAATTTCCCACAATTTGTGGAATTAGACCCAGAGGTGAAGCTTGGTCCTCCTCCAATTTCCACAAAAAATCCACCTGCACAAAGACGTTGTCCATTTGTAGATGTTACTGAGATGGGAGAAGACAAAGGGAGGGTGGACATAACACTAATGCAGACACTGAAAGGATTCTGGGCTCCTGCTCCCGTGGGATTAGTTTAGGATCTGGGTCTCCCCACCGTCTGCAGTGCTGTCCCCAGCCTGTACTACCTGCTGTAAATGTCACCCGTAAGCTCACGCTTCCTAAGTGAGGGAGGGAAACCATATTTGAGCTACATCTGATCTGACACCTATTTAGAACTTGCCTTTAAAACAAACATGTCAAAAACTTCCCTTCTGTCTGGATAGATCCAGGAGAATTCATTGTTTAGTATAAATATAATATATAATAAAATTAAATAATATAAAAAAGCATAGTGAAATGATAAGGCAGAGTGAGCAAAACTTGTACGATTAGTGTGACCTTCACAAATTTAGGGTACAAATATGATCACATCATTTGTTTAATAAGTTGATTGAGTCCAGGTTGACAAGGAGTTCCCATATTTTTCTTCCTCAAATATTTCCAAGAATGGCAGGTACCGATTCAACCCAAGGGTAGGGAGCATTGTGGGTCAGTCCTCTTCCCAGCATCAAGTGGAGAGAACATGGAGTCTAAGTCCATTACCTTTGTGTCTTGAGTCCACGAAGGATTGCCACTGGACACTGACTTGGTGGATGATGTTGGGATGCCCCTGCTGCTCTGATAGATGACGGCGTAGACCACAGTGGTGCTACAGATTGGGCATTAAGGTTACAGCTACTTTTAACTCACATTTACGTTCAGTGATTTTTCCCCAGTGTGCAACAGCCATGGCAGGATGGTTGGGTCTGGAGGAAATTCTGCCACTCTGTGCTGAACCAGTGTACCCACCTCTCCACCCCTATGAATTCTGGGGTCCTTATGCTGACATATTTAATTTTCCTAGTACATTCAGCTCTTGAAATTCTTGATCTAGTCTCCTCCTAGCAGATTTTGGGCAGGAATCCTTGACAGACCCTTACAGGTTTTCCTTACTTTGAATCATGGAGATTGGAGTTTGGGGCTCTGATGTCTTCTCTCCAAGAATAGCCTGAATTCCTTACACAGGGACTGAGTCACCTCATCCCCAGTGACCAGCTCTGCCCACCAAGGAAAGAGACAGATTTTGCTAAGACAAAAGAAATAAGTCCCTTATTCCAGAATGGTGCCCATTCACCCTATATTTGTATAATTAAGAGGGTTATTGAAATGACCCTTCTCCAGACCAAGAAGCTCAAGTTTTATCAAATTTAAAACAGCAGAACTGAAAAAACAGTGGAGTTTTGGTATTCTGCTGCATTAGTAAAGGAGAAGGAAAGTTAAGAAGAGAACGGGAGAGACTGTGGTAGGGACCTGGGAATTTTAATGAAGTGAGGGATCAATGCTTTCAAACTCCATCAGGCTAAATAAGTGAAGACTGAGAAGAATCCACTGAATTTGGACTTGGAGTCATTGCTGGGTAGACACATGCCGTCAGTGATTTGAAGAGTGAATGAGAGGTGAAGAAGAGGCTGCGGATCTACACTTTTCTTACAAGAACTTCGACTGTGAAAGCAAAGTGAGATGGGATAAGGGTGGCGAGTGGGGTAGTGATGCTAAGGGGAGGCTTCCTCAGAACAAGAAAGGTAGTTCTGAGGAATCCTAGCTTCACTTTTATTATCTGCTTCTTTAGGAATTCTGAATTAACTAGAGCCTGATGTAGCATGATCAACTATTGAAATGTCAAAATGATAAATGAATTATTTTTTAAAATAAACTATTTATTTATTTATTTTGAGGAAGATTAGCCCTGAGCTGACTGCTGCCAATCCTCCTCTTTTTTCTGCGGAAGACTGGCCCTGAGCTAACATCCGTGCCCATCTTCCTCTACTTTATATGTGGGATGCCTACCACAGCATGGCTTGCCAAGTGGTGCCATGTCCGCACCCGGGATCCGAACTGGTGAACCTTGGGTCACCAAAGCAGAATGCGTGCACTTAACCACTGCGCCACCAGGCTGGACCCTAAATAAACTTTATTTTTTAGAATAATTTTAGATTTACAAAATTAAATTGCAAAGACAGTATAGAGATTTCCCACATAACTTGCACCCAGTATTAACATCTTACATTAGTATTACAATTTGTTACAATTAATGAACCAATGTTCATACATTATTATTAACTAAATTCCATTGCTATATTCAGATTTCCTTAGTTTCTACCTGATATCCTTTTCTCATTACAGGTTCCTACCCATGATACATAACATTTAGTTGTCACATCTTAGGCTCCACTTGGCTGTGACAATTTCTCACACTTCCCCAGTTTTATATGATCTTAACAGTTTTGAGGAGTACCGGTCAAGTGTTTTTTGTAGAATGTCCTTCAACTGGATTTGTCTGATGCTTTTCTCATGGTGAAACTGGGGTTATGGGTTCTGGGGAGGAAGACCCCAGAGCCATTTTAATCACATCGCATCAAAGGTACATACCATCAACATGACTTAGCACTGCTGGTGTTGACCTTGATCACCTGGCTGAGGTGGTATTTGTCAGGTTTCTCCAATGTAAAGCGACTCTTCTCATGAGCCCCTTCCCATACTGTCCTGTCTGGGTGGAAGTCATCACATAGACTACACTTAAGGAGTCAGGAGCTAGGCTCCACCTCCTTGAGGGAGGAGTATCCACATAAATTATGTGGAATTCTTCTAAACATAGAGCTTTGTCTCTTCTCTCGAGGATAAGCGGATTTTTAATCCTTCTATAAAACACTCAGTGACTTCATGCCTTGCTTACGAAGATTAAATTCATAGGATAAATTTCACCCAGGAAGTTGGCTATTTGGTTCATATTTTTCAATACAGATTAACATGCTGACAGTAGCAGAAGTTGAGAGCAGTGAAGAAGAGCCTCCAAAAAATAATATTGAAAGGGTCTTATTCACATATTTCTTTTGCTAGTCATTAATGTTTCCATAGGCCAAGAAAAAAGTCATTTAATGGGAACTGCTTGTAACTCAGTGATTTGAGTAACACGAAACTGAAGTACTGAATCAACATTTGTCACTTTTCATTTTCTAACTTTGAATAGATAGAACAGTTTAAAAAAATTAAAGTTAGTGAATTTTATGTCCTTAGCATTGAGAATGAAAGAGAAACCAGAGAATAAAACAGACTGGTTGTGTTAAGCAGTCATACTTTTTCTAGGCTCTATCACTTACTAGTTGTGTGACCCAGAGTAAATTAACCTCTGTAAGCCTTAATTTTCTCACTCATAAATTAGAAAAATAATAATGCCTACATAACAGAATTTTTGAGGATTAAATGAAATAATATACTTTAAAATGTATTTGGGAACTTGAACTAGTGGTTCAAGCTACTAATTCCAGGGGCTGACGCTCAGCCAGGGTGCACTCCTATCGTCAATAAAGCCGTTTATGCCTAATGTTCCTTAGATTGATCAGGGCCTAAGTGGCAGTAGTGTTAAATATTTTGAATGTCACTGCTGCTAGCTACTGGGGAGTTACACAGAGTCAGCTTCCTCCTGGCCCTCCACCATTTATTTATGTAATGCTGGAACTAGCACCGTATCTGGGCCTCACTACCCGTGAATAATTAAGATGCTGTGATGCCTGGAGATCCACGGTGGGGAGCCAAGGGTTTACCTTGATGGATTTTGAAAGGCAAAGTCCCCTCTTGCAGAAGGCGTACTTGCTACACCTGAGTCAGCAAGCCTTGCTGTCTCAGCCCTTCCCAGTGTAAGCACAGACAGGTAGACAGACACCCCTGGATTCACGCTTGTGGTTCTGTGGACCCCCATCTGTTGGTGTGAAAATTTAAGGCAGTGGGCATAATTACCATTCTGTAAAGATAGTTTTGTTCCTTTCCTTGATTTCCTTTTGTTAAAATGTTAGCCAAAGTGATGAACACATGAGGGAAATTATACCCCTGAACAACTCCCTGAGTATAAGCAAGTTAAATATCATAGAAAGCTATCAAAAATTCCAAGCCATAATTAATACTGAGTTAGGCAATAGCTGCTCCAGGGAATTATATGACACCTGTAAATAACAAAAAATATTGAGGAGTATCTCCTGAAATGCACTATAACTTGAAGGCAGTTTATTGAATCAATGTCACTTTTGTTGGAAAATGCTTAGTGCTTTTGGAAGAAATTCTTAATAATATCATAATTTTCCTCTCACATTTCATGTTTTCTTTTTCCAAGTCAACGTTTTGGCTAAAGAGTTCAGTTTTTGATTTGTAAAATTGTATCCGTTGTCTGAGATTGAATACAGGAGTATTTTTTTATAATTGCAAATCACTTCTTAACGTGTCTTTTTAAGGTCATCATTTTGGGGAAAACAAGTAATCACATATTCTATTTTTGTATTAAAATTTGAAATCAATAGGCCATAAGGGAAGACAAGAACATTTCAGCCTCCTTATTGCCTCATGTTAAAGATCTGACTTTAATTTCAAGGAGGTATGCTGTTATTCTGCATTAAGAATTGAAACTCAATGCCCATTCCAGAACTTGGTGATTTTCCTTCCGTGAGTCACAAGTCTTGTAGTACGAACACTATCCTGAGATAGTTCCTGGAGATAAGGTTTAGAACATCAATTTATTCTTTTATTTCTCCCATAAGTATGTCATAGTTTTTCAAAAATTCTTACCACTGAGCAAAACTGTCTTAATTTTGCTAAGCATATCACTTGATAATATTGAATTTGAATTCTATTAAGAAAAAAAATACATATTATCAAAGAAATAGGGATGGAACCGGCCATGAAATCCACTAGATGTATCTGCACCTAGTAACCCGTGTGATATGTGGATGGCTTTAATCTGTGCAGAAGTCAAGAATTTTAAAACCAGAAAAGTTCTAGGAGATCATTTTGTAATTTGTATCTTGTTACAGTTGACTAAATTGAGTTTCTTCATAGTTAATCCATTTGTGTGGAAACACAATGCTGCTCAGAGGAAAACTGAGCGGGCTAATGGCCCTGTGTTCTTTGTGCTGTATTTTATGACTTCCTACCTGTGCTGATTAGGGTATCACTTAATCCCAAAGAGCATCAGGTGTCTCCACAGCCACTGGCTGTAACTGAAACAGCCGGCTTCATTCCTCGTACGGCTTAATGAAGTGAGCCAGCGGGACTCAAACTCCGGCTGTGTTAGAAGTAATATTTTATTATTAGTAGTAAAGTGTATAAATACATTAAATCTGGGAATGATTATAGTAGTATTCTTTTTGTTGCAAGTGATAGAATCCCAAATAGTACTAGCTAAGGCACTAGCTGGGTGGTTTGATGTTAGGATCCTGGAGCGTCTCACCTGACTGAAGGAAGACGGCGTCACCACATCAGCGACGAAACGTCTTCAAAAGCAACCTGAACAGGAACTGAACGATGCTGGGATTCTCATTCTCTCTCTCCACCCTCTTTAAGCTTTCCCTTTGAACTCTGGGGGATGGTGGGGTGTGGGGAGAGGCAAGGGAAGACAGTACACAAAGATCAAGAGCTTTGGGAGTCTGTCAAAACTAGGTTCAAATTCAGTTTTGCAAACTTACCTTGGACATATTGCTTAATGGCTCTGAAAGGATAAAAGTCAGTTAAACAACAAGTCTCTCTCAGGCTTTTGGGGAGAGAATTACGTGTAATGATATACATAAGGCACTTAGCATAGCAGCTGGCCTATAGTAGCTACTCAATAAATAGCATTGTTATTATTATACATTTAAGATACCATTTGATTACAGGTCTTTCCTCCCTGCTCCTCCATCATCCCTTTGGCTGAAAAGCCAACATCCAAAAAGCACAAGGACCAGTTTTGATAGAATCTAAGATGCTATCAGTTGTAAGATGGACCATTATTTTATGTGCCACTACAAAAGAAAATATGCTGCCAATTATTCTATGGTTCACTTTCTTAGCACTTGAAATTTTTATTTTATACTTGAAAAAGCTGTTTTAGACTTATTTAGATGTACGTTATCAAATATCACTCATGTATATACCTAAAAAGGGAGATATAAGGAAAATAATTAGTTAAACTATTCCTGCAACTCCTTCACCTTCTGTGTCTGATGACTGTGAATCACAGAGTAACTTAGAGGCATCTGTGTCTGTGTTTTCTCATATACATCATCCTTTGTTCCATCAAGAGCATCGGGGAGAGAGCATTTCTTTGAAATAAGATGCTTCACTTACACTAGGATTCTAGGATTTTTTCCAAGTTGCTAATACCCATTCTGCAAGTTTTGATGTGAAGTTAAATGTGAAAAATATGTGCGTCCAAGAATTGATGTACAAATGGTAGATGGCCCGCATCACAACAGGTCCCTCACTTAGCCAAAAAAAGAGTCATAAAATTATTTGAAATAGTAAGCTTGTTTAGTGCATTAAAAATATTTGAATAATCACTCTTTAGTCTGCATAAACTGAGGCGTGCTTGTATCAATTACATTTTTTTCCCCACATCAACAGAAAACAGTAGGCTGAGCTTTTAGGCTAAAAGCAACTTGCCCTGCATGAAGGAATGGTTTTCTTCAGCTCTATCAACACCCCACTCAAGGAGACAAGTTGGTGCCATTTGAAGATAGTTGAAACCTATAGCTTTTTCTTGCCAAGATTTGTTGTTTTAACATAAAAATCAAGCAGTAGCAAGGCTTACAGAGTTTTTTGAAGAATAATTTCTTTCAAATTTCAAGCTGAGAGTATCCTCAGCTCAAATTCAGAAAAAAAGGAATCTTATAAAGTATTGTGAACTTATTAACAAGTCCTTATCCTCTCAATATCTTTTTTTTTTTTTAAATTGAGGTATACCATACATAAAACAAAAAGCACACGTCTTAATGGTATGGTTAAAGGGCAAAAACTCATGACTACCACCTCAATCAAGAAATAGCACATTTCTATCATGACAAAAATTTCCCTGGGCCCCTCTCCAGGGTATCCACCTGTCCCCTTCAATATAATCTGGTCTTTTAAGTCACGAATCAACAACATATTGGAGTATCAGAAAAAGAGAAGAAAAAATTTCTTAAGTGATCATAAGTTATACAGTTAAAAATCTAAGTCTTGTAGCTTCTTAATTTTAATTGATACGGCTACACTGCTATATATCACTATTCTGTCTTCAGGTGACTTTGTTATTTTTAAAATGACTAATGTTAACCTGAATAGTAAATGAAATATAATACCCTCGTCACACATTCTGGTGGAAATACAATATATTTCTATCCAGGCTGGATCAGGTACCATGTGGTGTCCCATTTCCATTTGGGACATAAACACTATATAGATTTACCTACCACATGACTTCCAGACTTAGCCCAGTAATGTCAAAACTTTGAATTGTGTATTAGCTATAATAATTACTTAAAAATTCATTTTTTCTTTAATATATAGCGAAGCAAAGTGGCAACCATGGGTGCCTATTACTCAAATGTAAAAAGTTACTATAAAGGTAACAATAAACTATGTATATAATATGTATATTTCCTCCCTTTTATTCCCCTGTATGAAACTGTGGGGCTTTGTTAGGAGTAATCCACTATTTCCTTTGCCCATTAATATTTCTTCATTACTCTGAACGTAATTTGAGTAAAGATATGGGTAATAATCTTCTTGCTTAATACTAAGGTGTATCAGCACATTCAAAGGATGATAAAATCTGATGGGTCGAGAGCAGAGGTAATAAGTGAACCATAATCCATTTATTCAGATACTGTAATGCATTCATTCATTCTTGACTCAATCTAAAATTTTGAGTGCCTTTCATACGCCTTCACTGTGTGAAGACTTGGAGAGAGAACAAAGACGGCTTGCAAAACCTCCCTTATCTCATGAAAGTCATTCTCTACCGGGGTTGTAGACACGTGAGCAATTACAATATAGTCTGACAAGTGTATAAATATGATGAGCGACGGGGCAATATAGGAGGGGTCCTCAACTCTGATTAGGAGGAGGGGTGGGATTCAGACCTGAAGAATGAATAAGAATTCGCTAGGCAAAGAAGTGGCAAAGTATCTTGTGAAAGAGGAGAAGGAGAAAAGGTCAAAGTATTTGCTAATATGGTCCCAGGAGTAGGAGACTTGGCTGTGCTTCATCTAGAAGTATAATGTTCCTTTTAAAACTAATGAACCTGTCAGTGAAGAAATTATTGGCCAATCAATGTTTCAAAGGGCAATGAAAACCACGTAAATATAGCAGGATTTTATCCGAAATAACAATAAACAAAGTATTCTAGCCCAGCCTTTTTATTTTTAGATAGTTTTTGTATCACCACTGGAGAGAGAGAGAAATGACATGACAGGGACACAGAGAGACCCTTCCAGGTGGTAATAGTGCCACAAAGGAAATTTTTTTTTGTTTTCTTGGCTTGATTTTTCTCCCCACTAAAAACAGAATGAAACCAAACAGTGAAAAACAACCACAGGGAAATACAGAAACATTGCCACAAAGGGACTATTGTTTTGATCCAGGTCACATTAGAAGGACTGGCAAACCAATGCTTCCCTGTTCCATTGCTGGGAAATACATCACCCTCATTGTGAAATTCTTGAGATGCAGACAGACAGCCTCATCTATTCCCATGATCTCAATAGGCTGCTGATTACCAAATGTTTGACCTTTTAAGACCTGTCTGCCCCATTACACTACACCTTCCAAGAGGTCTGTGTCACAAACCAGTTTCCCTGGGACCTGGGATAATAGTTGGTACAGAGTAATGGCACATAGTGCTCAGCAAACACTTGTTGACGAATGAAAGCAGAGAACTGTCTTTCCAGCCACCTTTTCCTCGAGCTTTCCTCCTCCTCCCCTTACCCTATGATGGGAACCCTCTAATGCAATGGCCAACAGGCTTCCTGGCCCTTCTCTGATGGCCTTCCATTCACCTGGCAGAACACTCATCACCCCGCCCCAGGAAAGACTGATGCCTCTCCCAAATGGATTTGGAACTCTTGGAGGGCAAGGACTGTACCTTATTCAGTCACGGGATGCCTTGGAAAGTCACTAGCATATAGTAGGTGCACTCTGACTCTGTTGGATAAGCAATCACATGAAGAGTTTATAAACTTTGCAATGAGTTTATTCGTATCAACAAATGTTTACTGAATTCGTAACTTGCCAGGTGCTGTTGTAGACGTGCAGGATACAGAGGCCAATAAGACTGATATGGCCCCTGGCTTCCTGGAAGTTAAAATCCTAGTGGAGACAGACAATAAACATGTCTGACTCTGTTTTTGATGTTTGATTGACTGCTGACAGCTTTCAAGTCCTACCCCCTTTCCCTTTCTGCCCTGCCTCTGGGCAACTAGGTAAGCAAGTCTGGGCACTCCCTCCCTTGTTCAGACCACGAAAACTCCAGTGGTGCACAGAGGAACTCTAACCCCGGCCCCACCCCCTAACTACAAGGAACACCGGAGCCGCTCACCTGTTTTCATTCAGGCCATTTTGTATTGCCCTGCTCTTCCCAGAAAACCTTGGCATGTAAGCAATAAATCTTTCAGACCCTCTTGGCGTGCACGTGTGTCCTCATCTCTCTGGACATCTGCACTAATTAGGTGGTGCTGCTGGGGGAGTGCTCACGCTCTCTGTGGGGCAACTACAAGACACACATAAACAAACACACAAGGACACTTCAGATAATGGTAGACGATATGGGAAAAACGAAGGGAGTCAACGAGATAAAGGGTTAGGGGCTGTGAGGGTGGAGGGATGGGAAACAGGTGAGCTTTACGGAATTATGTGATGTGATGTGATGTGATGTGATGTTACGGCGGGGACTGTCACTATCTCCCAATAGTGTTTTCTCTTTCTCCATAAGAATGGAATAACAGTAATACTTCATTTCTTCCTCCACTTTTAGCTGGGTACATGGCCTCTCAGAATAAAAGCGACGTTTTCCAGCCCACCAGCTGGGAGCAGCCAATGGGATCTGACTGGGTCCCATTCTCCTGACAAGATGTGGACTTGGTGGTTGGAACTCCAGTGGCTCCCCCAGCCCATGGCATGACTGTGGGGATCAAGGTGTGCAGAGCAGAGCCACAAAAGAGAGGGGGTTGGGTCCTTGCCTTGCGGAGCGCCACAGCTCTGCCTGCCTCCCTCTGTGGGCATGTCTAAGAGAAACCCACATGCATCTTGCTACAGGCACTGAAGTTTTAGCTTCTGTGCTTTTCACTCTTGAACGAATGTTGAACCTGTCATTTTGGAACTCATTATCTTCTCTTGATAGCTTTTACCAACTCTGTTCTCTCAACTTAGCCCTGCTTCTTTTCCCTTTCCTCCTATTTTCCCCCTTCATTTCTGTCTTTTTTCTCTTAGTTGAGCATTATGCAAAACTGAAGTATCTTGATGTATTATCTACTGACTACATTTTAAAAATTAACTTTTATTACAGAGAAAATAAAATACACAGAAACAGACAGAAGAAAATACCGAATCCTTCTGTACTCACAACTCTGCCTCACCCATTATTAACCTCAGGTCACCTCAGCCTCGTCTGTACCCCGGCCTCTTCCCCCTTCCAACATTATTTTGAAGAAAATCTCAGACCTCATATTATTACTGTATTACTCTTTCAATTTTCAACCACTGGGAATCTATTTTGCCAAAGTGGCAGAATTTACTACTCATTTATAGTCCCTGTATCAATTTGGAGAAAAGGATTTTTAAAAAGTCACACAGACTCTGTCCTCCCCCTGCAGATTATAAAAACTGGCTAAATTAGTAATACATGGTGGGAAAATATAATAATAAAAAGAAGCCATTTACAGTAGTAACCAAAATTAAGTATTGGGTGTTATTTACTTATTTTTTTGGTGAGGAAGATTGTACCTGAGCTGACATCTGTGCCAATCTTCCTCTATTTTGTATGTGGGTCACCCCCACGGCACGGCTTGGTGAGTGGTATAGCTCTGCACCTGCGATCCAAACCCACGAACCCCGCTCGCCGAAACAGAGCCCAGTGAACTTAACCACTAAACCACTGGGGTGGCCCTTGGGTGTTACTTTAAGTAGACAAACTCTAAAACCCTAATGATACTGAAGATTTGTTTTTATAACATTGATAAGGCATTGACCTTTTATGCCAGCGGACCTGGGCTGTGTGGCTGTTTTCCCACAAAGCAAGCTGGAACTGTTTTGATACCACTCATGCCTAAGAATCAAGCACGGTTCTCACAGGCAGCGTGTAACCAATCTTTTGGAGGGAGTACACATTAGTAGGACACAGTGGAGGCAGCTCTTTCTACTAAACGATATGGTTACAGAGTCAGCGCCAAATTCGCATAAATTTTACTTGCTTTTATATTGTTATCTTGGTGAAAAATAGATTTGTGACTTGCACACTGTAACAGAACAAAACCACTATGAGCGATCAACACCACGGCCTTTATGTTGTTTTGGAAGCTTACTATGTTCCTGGGCATTACAAACCTATTTCTGCTCTGGGAAGTTGTGGGAGGTATCTATCTGGGTACCCCAGCATCCCATTGCTTTTACCTATCCCATGATATTGAACTTCACACCAGCAAGGAAATGTGGTACTTGTACCCACAGTGTAATGAAAGAAGGTGTAAACGTTGCATATTGGGTTTACTTGTCTAGACCAAAGACAGAAGTCTGGGATTGTTGCTTTCACCTCTGTACCTGAATACTCATCTTGTGGAACCAGGCCAACAGTCAACAAGAACAGTTTATGCAATGAGTAAATACAGAAACGCTTCAGGCAAAACCAGTAGCACAGCTTATTGGTGTTCAGGTTCATTTAGCAAATTGACACTCGGTAACTCTCTTGTTCTTTACTCTTAGTGGTTCTTGAAAGCATTTTTACTTTTCTCATAGTCTTAATACAATAATGTTCCTTATCACATCCCGCCCATTTCAGAATTCTCAGCTTTTTTGATGTGATACTAACACTTACCCACTCCTAATACTCGTAAAATTGTGTGTTCTCATTTCTATGCCCAAGTGGGGTTTGACTTAAAATTTCAGACATTGAGTTGAGTATTTAAGTCTCCATACTACTCATGATAAAAGGAGTAGAAGTGTTTTCCCAGAAAATTTAAAAGAACTATCTCTTGGGCTAGTGGTTTTAACTGGAGGTGAGAGATTTGAAACTTCTCCTCCTTATGGTCTTGGGGAAGGAGCTACTTAGAAAAGTTGTGTGTATAAATAATCTTGTTCTAGCAAATCATATACTGTTGGGGCAGAGGAGTGGAGAGAGAGAAAGAGGCTGTGCTCTAAGTAGACATCCATCCACATGTCTAGACATTCACTCCTCGTTTAAATATTTAGAATTTTCAGTAGCTTGTGAATACAACAAGATTTATTACACTAAGGCAAGCTTTAGATATTTGACACGTAGCTGATATTTTCATAGTGTGAGAACTACCAAGCTGACATTATGCTGTCTCTGTGATGATTATTTCCAAATGTTCAGAGCAAAAACTTATTCATGGGACCTCAGGGCTTTAGGATGGTGTTAATTTAAAAGACATTCACATTGGCTTCTTTTTTATTTAAACATGTTAAATGGAGTATGAAAAGCAGGTTAAGAAATCAATGGAGAAGGAACCAGCAAAGAAGAAACCTATTGACAAGAAAATTTTAAATAGATTGATGTCCTCTTCCGTCAATTTCATGGACACCTTGCTGACAGCAGGCTTCAGAGACTGCCTCCTCCTGTTTTTGACAGCTGTAATCTTACTGTTCATCTTATCTCACTGATGTCATTCATAGTGAATTTGGGGAATTAAAAATAAGACTTGAACTTCTTGTTTATTTGCAGAATATCCTTAATAAATAAGTCAAATAACTAAATTTAATATTTTCCTACCACTTTTAATACTAAATTTGGACTTGAAACTAAAATCAAATAACAGTGATATTTTATGTTAAAAATTTATTCTTTTGTTCACCAAACTCTTTAGTAGCTAATCGTGAACCTACTGAACTGCTGTTATTTTGGAAATAATTCAAAGGAGGTTTTTTTTAATTAAATAAATTGGCCACATCAGAGATAATTATGAGTTTATGCAAGCCGTTGTCTTTCCAGTTATGTGCACAGCAGTGCTCTTAATTACTTGGGGTCACTGAAATCTCCTGACATCCTCTGGAAAGCGTTTCTCTTGCAGTCCATCTTGTTAGATATATCCTTTCTCTTCTCGGAAGCCAGCGTCTTTTCCTTTTTAAAATCCCTTTTAAGCAACAGTGGGAATGATGTTTGATGATGGTAACATGGATTCGGTCTTAAAATCAGCCCCGTTTATTCCACTTCTGTAGGTCAATGACAGGAGTCACTGTGAGACCATCTAAATTCCCTGACTGATCTCACAGAATGTTATGTCTGATACAAACAAAAATTGTGGGACCTCTGTGAGCTAGACTACCAACTTTTGGGAGTTGCAGAATTTTAAATTATTGCTTGAAAAACAAAAGGACAAGCCAAGCATGCTGACGTACACGCTGTCACAGAGGATCACTGTAATCTTGTTCTCTAAACCAAAGCCGAAACAGAATGGATTGATAATTGTTACCTATTAGTATTGCTCAAATTCTTAAATTCAAGCGCTGGATTCAGGGATTATCATCTCATTTCAAAGCTTCAAGAGCCACACTGTTTTGCATGGATCGAATATCACAAAGTAAACTTGATTGTATCCTCAAAGGCCAAGGAGTTCCCTTAGCCCATTTCAACAGGGCTGTCCCTGAGAAGACAGGAGACAAAAGTGGAATGGTATGACGGTGCACCCAGCACCTTGGACGCACAGCTCCCCACAAGGTCCCGGGCCACCCCAGGAATGTCCTTAGAATGCCAGCGCTGCCAGGTCCAACCCTCCCCTTCGGCATCCGTTAAAGAAAAGAAGTCTCAGGAATCCGATCCCTGTCCGGAGTCCCAGCGCGGGTTACAGCTCAGCATCTGGGGCTGTTACTGCCTGGCGCCTTTTCAGAGACTCCCAGACCGCCTGGGTCACTAATAGCTCCGCGAGGACGGAGAATCTCGTCCCTTCTCTTAAACTGCACCTTGCCCAACACCTCGTTCAATTTCCAGCCGGACAGGGCTAACCACCTCTCTGGTCACTGCCCTGCTTGTTTATTTCTTCCTAACTGCAAGGCTCCTTTCGCCATGGCGGTCCTCCAGCCCGCGGCCCAAGGCCGGGTCTGGGCAGCAAAGGCGAGTGTTCACAGCCTGGGCTAAAAGAGGAGTTCGGGCTTTGCTGGGAGTCCTCTCGCTCTCAGGAAAGCAACAAGTGAGCCGCACGGTCGCCTCTGGCAGACACCCTGCCCCGGACCACCGAGCCTTTGCCCTCGGAGGGAAGTCCCTAGAATGGACGGCGCCTTGGGTCCGGAGTCAGTGGGAGGAGCTGTGGGCGGGACTTTCAGCGCCACCCCGCCCCCGCCCGGCCCGCGGCGCTGCAGAGACGCGGGGCGCCCCCTGGTGGCCGCCCGGCCGCGCTGCTCCGGGCCGGCGGCGGCGGAAGGGGAGGCGCGGAGCTGCTGGCCGCGCGGCCATGGCGGAGCGGGTGCGGGAGGAGCTCGCGGCCTTGGCTGCGATTTTCTGCGGGCCCGACGAGTGGGAGGTGCTGAGCCACTCAGGTGACTACCCTGCCCTGGGGCCCACACTTGGGGACCGGGCTAGTGGACTGATGGAATGACACGCACCGGGGACTGGAGTGGTGTCGGAGCAGGCGGGAGTGTGAGGCGACCCCCTAAAGCGGGGAGAGTGTCGCGCCCCGCTCGCCACTCTGCAGTCAGCGGAGAACCTGATGCCCAGGCGCCTGCGGCTCGCCGGCCCGTCCCTGCCTCCCGCGCCCCCAGCTCCGCGCCCGTCCCACCCCCCTATTGGCGGTCCCACCCCCCTGCGTGCCGGTCTCAGTCCCCGATCGTCCGTCCCAGTCCCACTCGCGAAGCGCCTGGCCCTTCGCGCCAGCCGTCCCCTCCTGGAATGGCTCCCACATGCTCTCCCAGGCCATCCTCTACTTACCCTTCAGATCTCACCTTAAAAAAAGGCCTATCCTGAACCCCCGTAGTTTAAACCCAGCTTCCGCAAATTGCATGATATCCTTTGTAAGCGCTAAGCATTGTGGCCTTCGGAGCGCTCACGGCAGTTTTAACTCTGTATGGGTATTTGGTTGTCTCAAGTTACGTGAGGGCAGGGCCCCTGTCTGTTTTGTCATCACAAAACTCTAGGCACCTAGAACAGTGCCAGGCACGTGGTAGGTAGTAATTGTGTGATGAATGAATCTTTGAATATCGCCCGGTGCTCCACCGCATACTTTTCTCAGGTGTTTCTGAGTTGATTGTTTTGCTGAAAGGTGGTTGCGGGTTACAGGCTCTTGAGGGCGCGTTTATCGTCAGCCCGCATTTACGGATTCCCTGCAAACATTGACAAAGACACCGCCCATGTCCTCTAGGAGCTTACAGTTTAGAAAGGTTCTTTGGCTATTTTTTGATGATGGTTAAAACTTTTTCTGCCCTTGTCCGTGGCTTCTAGTAAAGAAAAACCAAAACTGCAGCTTGTGAAAAAGTGCAGTGACGCAGATAATTTTTGATTTTCACTTAGATTTCAAATACATTATGTAAATTTTTTGGCATGGGATTTTAGCCTTCTGTTATGTTTCAGCTACTATCAAAATTGTCCTTCTGACCATAAATTGGTTGACCTTTAAGAAGGTCGTCTAGAGTGTAAGGGGTGTTGTGAGAAAGCTGTCTAGGAGTAAGACGGTTTCATGGGATCCATGTGGTGTGTTATTCACACCCAGAGCAGGGGTTGGCTCCTTTTTGTTTATTCTTTCTTGCATCCACCGTCTACACCCGTTCCTAAAGCTCTATGTTCCAGGCCCTGTGAACCAATTAGTGTGATGGAGCTGCTTTCTTTTTCGTGCCTAGTCTGTCTTGGAGCTTTTTGCAACAGTTGTTTAAAATCCATAGGAAAGGATTTACTCCCTTTAGTGTTTTCTAGTCGCCCCTCTTCTGATTGGGTAGCATTCGTAATTAATTCTTCATCATCTTACTTACCCGCTGTCTCTGCAGCTCTTGTTATTGATAATTACTTCTGCCTGAGGCAAGCTATTTGAAGAGATCATCAGTTTTCCTAAATTCCTTTATTATAGCTTAGTTGGGAATATCCTGGAAAAAAATGAACCTATGGTTTCCCATGACACCTTAAAGAGATGGAGTGGTAGTCATTTGGATCATGAGTGCACAGCTGAGCGTGAGACACTGCTGGTGGGTCAGAGAAAACTTAAAAAAGTAAGCATTTAAAGAAAGCAGTTTCTTAATATTGAGAACACTGTGGACCCTTTATCTGCTGTTAAATTGAGCATGACTTTCAAGCCATGCCTCCTAATTAATTTGATTCAATGTTCTGGCATCAATAAGTAATTGAATTATAAAAGAATTCAGTGTAACAACTTAGGACATTTTGTTGCTGAAAGGTTCACTGGAGAATAGAACAATTCAGTGATTGAAATCGGGATGTTTGATGTTCACAACTGGGCATGAAGGGTAAGGTAGGCCTTGTTAACAGCCCACAATAAACATACAGTGGGCTGCTGGCTGCTGCTCCAGGGTCACCGTCAGCTTGGCTGGGAGGCTATAACCTTGGTACCAGAACATTCTGAACCCCATCAGTTCCTTCCTGGCCTCCCCCAGATGGGCTTCGCCCTGTTGCTACTGGAATCAGGAGAACATTGTGTGGGATTGCACTTCTGGTGACAAGATAGCCCAGGAAGGCTCAGGCTGCCAGCCCAAGGATCAACTATTAAGGCCATAAGATGGAAGAGGGTGAATAGTTGAATTCAGTTCAGCTGGGTTAATTTAAGCTGAGACTTTCAGGGGATTTATGTACATTTGGCCTCTTTACTATGGTTATAGTAAGCTCATAGTAAGAGGCATCAGGTGTAACTACGTCTTAATGGGTGCAAACTGTGTAAGCCCCCACACTCCTGTCTACTAGGGAGGCCTGTGGGTAGACCAAATCAGGGGTATTCTGCCCCTCTCTGTGCAGTGCAGTCAGGCCAGGTGCCAGGTTTAATGGGGTCACCTCCGCTGTACTTAATACTTTAAATGCATCTTACTTCATGAAGGGTGCTCTTAGCTTTATTTTACAGAGAAGATAACGCATGCTCAGGCTGGATAAGTAACCACTAGGTTCCAGAGTATATGGGCCTTTGCACTACATCGTGCTCCTTAATAGAGATGAGGCTGCTCCATCAGTAAAACAGTTCTTAGCAAGGATAACTCTTGACCAGAAAGAGAGAGCAATAATGAACACCCAGAGAAAACAGATGGGTATGACCCAGCTTATGTTCAAGATAATTCTGAAAGAGAGTATCTACATGCATGTGTGTGCATACCTATGAAATAGATGAGATTTGTATTGTTGTAAATCTTCATTTTCCTGATAAGGTGATTGAGGATCACAGAGATTATATTGCCATAGTCAATGCTCATTATACGTAGAATTGCATTTCTGGAAATTAACTCACAGATCAAAAAGTTGTAAAATGGGAAGTAAGACCCAACATCATAAAATATGTTTGCTCAGAAACTTCAGAGTGAATTTTTGTATTCTGCTGGCACTAATGTTCAGATTGGATTGGGCCCTCCTGCAAAAATGAATCGTGGCTGTCACCCCCTCACCCCGCTAAATCTGCTCGGCTCTGTTTCCTGCTGATTGTCAGTACTGAACTCACCTCTGTAAAACCAGTTCAGCTTTGAACTTCACTTCTAAAGGATAGGATTGCCACTTTTAGCTTCATGCGTTTCTTAGTTTTTTGTATTTTTCCTGTGACCACATTTTAAATATATATAAAAATTCAGCTGAAACTTAAAAACAAGCACTAGTGGATGCATCCTTGTGGTGAGCCCCCTAGGAGCAAGAGGAAAAAAATCCTGTGCACGTGAAGGATGAGAGGGTGTTTGGAGCTTCTTAGTGGTTTGCTGTACAAAGTCTTACTCTGAGGATGTGTAAAAATTGCAAAGGAAAAAAAAAAGCAAGTCTAGGGAAAGTCAGTTGAATATGGGATATAAATGGTTTCTTAAAGGGCTCTAAATGAATCTTGAAGAACTCATTTTCTTAAATTTTGTTTACAATTTCCAGTGTCTTCCACTGCTAGACAGCATTTGTTGAGTTTCTACTGTGTGTGACCGTGAACCGGGTGAAGCCTGAAAATAACATTAGTGTAGAGTTTGGAGTTCAATTCAGCTTCTCTAGTTTGAATTTCTGTTGTTTGGGGTACGGTTAGGAGGATAATTTCTTTCATGTGCTTGTAAAGAAGAATGAGGTTTGAAACCTATTTCAATTAGTGTTTTAGTTATGAAATTGATACACTTATTATAAGGCAGAATGACTTATTAAAAACAACTAGAGGATGTGTATGTGAGCTTCAAGCAGAGGCAAGACCTATATGTTTTGGTAGGGTCTTTTTTTTTTCCTTTTTTTTTTGAAAGATTTTCTTTTTTTCCTTTTTCTCCCCAAAGCCCCCTGGTACATAGTTGTATATTCTTCGTTGTGGATCCTTCTAGTCGTGGCATGTGGAACGCTGCCTCAGCGTGGTTTGGTGAGCAGTGCCATGTCCGCGCCCAGGATTCAAACCAACGAAACACTGGGCTGCCTGCAGTGGAGCGCGCGAACTTAACCCCTTGGCCACAGGGCCAGCCCCTGGTAGGGTCTTTAAAATAGATGAAAATAGTCTTGGAACTTCTGAAAATTTTAGTTTTCCAGGGCAGGCATAAGTTTCCTAGAGCATCGATGTTTATTGTGAATGATGAGTTGGTGAGTTAAATTTAATAATTAGAATTGTGTGGAGCCAGGGAGGGACAGAGATTAACATTCGATTTAGAGCAGAATTATTTTTCTGTTGATCACTCTGTTTCTAAGCTGTTAATAATCTTAAAAACAGATAGGGGCAACTTCATTTTCTTTTTTTTAATGAAAAAAAAAAAAACCCCAACAAGCCCAACGTCAGACTGACTATGCATGTGTTACGTGAAAAATTCTGAGGCGAAAAGGAGCTGGTTTAATTGCATCTACAAACTAAGGCCGATGAGAAATGGAAGGGTAATATACATTCTTCTAGAGTTTTTGGGAGAAAATGAGTTTTTATTTATTTATTTTTTTGAGGAAGATTAGCCCTGAGCTAACTATTGCCAATCCTCCTCTTTTTGCTGAGGAAGACTGGCCCTAAGCTAACATCCGTGCCCATCTTCCTCTACTTTATATGTGGGACGCCTCCCACAACATGGCTTTTGCCAAGCGGTGCCATGTCCGCACCCGGGATCCGAACCGGGGAACCCTGGGCCGCTGAAGCGAAACGTGCACACTTAACCGTTGTGCCACTGGGCCGGCCCCAGAAAATGAGTTTTTAAAAGAATATGTAATTTTATGACCACATTAAATATCACCAGAATGGGGTATGTTATTGGGCTTTTCATTTTCTTACAGAGATAACATCATTTTGTGTAATTTTAGTTTGTGGCTCTAGTGTGTGTGTGGTGGGGGATGAGGAGGCACCCAGAAGACCAATTAGAAAGAACGTTAATCCTTTCCAATTCTTAAAAGAATTAAAGCAGTTTTTCTTCTAAACATCTAATAATTTTGCAATTTTATGTGGCAAAATTCAGTGTTTTCTCCTATGGCTTTTCTATTTGCTGACTAGGATGAGAAAATAACTAAGAGAAGCATAATGAAAATTGGTAAGGATTTGAATGACTAGCTCTACAGCCATTCAAGACTTTCTCCCAGAACAGCCCGTTTCTGTCAGTTAGTTCATGACACTGGGGAGGAGGAGGTGGGTGTTGATATGGCAGAGACTGGAGGACACTGGGTTTTGGAGTTTTGATCAGAAAGGGAGAAGTGTGTTTGTGGGCATAGACACTGTATTAGTTTCCTTGGGCTGCTGTAACAAATTACCACAAACGCAGTGGCTTAAAACACCACACATTTATTCCCTTATAGTTCTTGAGGTCAGAAGTCTGAAATCCGTCTCACTGGGCTGAAATCACGTTGTCAGCAGGGCTGCACTCCCTCTTGGGGCCCGAGGCGAGAAGCCGTTTCCTTACCTTTCCCAGCTGCCAGAGCTGGGTTCCTTGCTCCCCTTGGCTCGTGGTCCCCCCTCCATCTTGAAAGGCAGCCACATGGCATCTGGCTTCAGTGATTACATTGCCACCTTCTGTGGCAAAATCTCCCTCTGCCTCCCTCTTGTAAGGACACTGTGATGACATTTAGGGCCCACTGGATAATCGAGGTTAACCTGCCATCTCAGGATCACATCTGCAAAGAACCTTTTGCCATGTCAGGTAACGTAATCACAGGTTCGGGCATCAGGGCATGAATGTCTGGGCCATTACGCAGCCTACCGCAGGTGCCAGTGGCCGCCACAGTGAGGCCCCTGATTACAAACTGGGGGCGTGATGCTCAGAACTGAGTAACTGTAAAATGTAAAAGTTTCTTGTAACCCATTGTATTTTAGTTGTTGTCTAAAAAGAAAGTAGATATATTCCAGTGGTGAAGAAAACAGTTAATTTGGTTCAACTACAATAATTCTGAGTATGAAGACACCACAAAATAAGTCCAAAGTACCATGGAAATCACCAGATAGACTTTAGAGAGGTGCTTGGTGGTTGAACAAAGATCCCAGCAGGCAGAAAGTGGGGAGTTATGGGCCTTCTTGGCATATAGGATAGCAGGAGCAAGGCCCAGAGACAGGAAACCAGAGACAGTATTAGTGTAAAATGGGTTAGTTGGAGCAAGGAGTAAGGGGAGAGGACGTTGGAGTGGTAGGCCCCTCCGTGGATGGAGGAATTTGTAATTTGTTTGTCAGTCTGGGAGAGTGGCATAGGATAATTTGGTGTGAGGAGAGGCAGGTGGTGAGGAGCCCACTATTGCAGAAACCAGAGAAAGGCCTGAATTAGGATGGTGGTTGTGAATGGAAAGGAGAGAAATTCTGGAGAACTTTGGCAATTGAACATGAAGTATGAAGCAAGGAGGGGAAAAAAAAGAGTCACAAGTGACTTTAAGATTTCAAGCTTGGGTAGCTAGAGTGAGAAAGTTGTTTATGGGATTACACTTTAAAGAATGCCTGTGCATTCAGGGGGTTAGAAAAAGAAGACAAAGCAGGAAAGGAATGATCAGAGATGTAGGAAAAGAACCAGGACAATGTGGTGTCTGGGAGAGATGGGAAGAGAGAATTTTGAGAAGGAGATTGGTTCAGTAGATTCAGATGCTGTGGAAAGGTAGGGCAGGATGAAGGTCACTGGATGTGGCTGTGTCACGGGTCCCCAAACCACCCTCAGCCTTGATGATTTGCTAGAAGGACTCAGAACTCAGAAAAGCTGGTATACTCATGGTTACAATTTGTTACAGCAAAAGGACACATTAAAATCAGCAAAGAGAAAAGGCACATGGAGTGAAGTCCAGGAGAAACCAGCTGCAAGCTTCCAGTTGTCCTTTTCCAGTGGAGTCACAGCACCATGCTTAGTTCTCTCAGCCATAGTGTGACAACACGTGAGGAGTGTTGCCAACAAGGGAAGTTCACGTGAACTGTGGGGTCCAAATTTTTATGGGGCATCAATCATGTAGACTATCCCCGCCTGTGTAACTGATGTCACTTCCTCAGACTCCAGTCCCCAGAGTAAGAAGATTCACTGTAAATTTTAATCAAACTGGTACCCTGTGGTCCAAGGCCTCAGGTATCCCAAAACCACTCTTCTCAGGCAGAATATGCCAGGGGCTCAGAGCTCATCTCCCAGGAGCCAGCCAAGGGCCAGTCCTGAAGACACACCTTTCTTGGGAGTGTGCAGGGTTTGAGCAACACAGGCCTGCTGAATTAGCTTCTTCCTGCAGGTCAGAGGTTAGGAGGTCACAGGTGATGTTTGAGAGAGCTTCAGAGACAAGTGATGATAGAAGTCTCAGTACAAGTAGTTATGGAGACTGGTTTCCAGTTTATGGGAAAGTGGATGCAGGTGGTGAGCTTTCTATTTCCAGAAGATTGAAAATGAAGGACAGAGAAAGATAGGTCTGTAGTTTAAGTGAATGAGTAGCATTGCATTTTGGTTTTTTTGAAGCAAGGAGAAGGTAAATATTTTGTAAGCGGAAGAGAAGCAGAGATTTGAGGGAGGGATGGAAAAGGCAGGCACTAGAGAAGTGCTCACAATTGGAACTGCATCTTGGATATGGCAGGGTTTGCTGTGGGAGGGAGGAGGACGCTTCTTCCTTGGAGGGAAGAGTGGAAAGGAGAGAGCAAGGTGGTGAAACAACTGTACGTATCACCAAGTGGTCAAGCAGCTCCTGAGGAGCGGCAGCAGCTGCAGCTGCCAGGTGGCTGGCGCGCTGCCGTAGAGTCAGCCGGGCAGGAGGCAGTGACCCGGGTGGGTTTAGACAGTTTGCTACTCACTGCACAGCAGGCAGCATGAACTTCAGGTTCACCTTGGGTGCCCTTGTCCCCAAGTTCCATAGGACGATGTGGAGGTAGGCCCATGTGGATTCTGTGCACACAGTGGGTCTTTGTCACAGCTGAGGATCACTGAGCTTAGGAATCCCCCAATCTTACAAGGTGGCTGCTAGCAATCCTGCCCCCCGCTTTGTGCTGAAGGAGTGTGTTGTCTTTATTATACTGGTCTGGAAACAAATCTACCCTCTGATCTGGAGGGAGAGGCTCTCTAGCTGCTAGGGCTGTCTGCTGTGCCAGCGACCTTGAACAGAGCTTTGAATACCCTTTCTCAGAAGAACTTCGGAAATGTCGTCCTGTAGAGCATCATCTCCATGGAGATAACATAAAATACATGTTTATATAACTTGTATGTATATGTGTTTATACGTAAAGAAGTTTTAAGTGCAGAAGAGAAGTCAAGGAAGATCACTTTGGATATGTCCACTCTTTCATGTTGTGAAACGCTGGATTGAGTCCATGTGACAGGATCTGCATCTTAACCACATTTTTTTCCCTTGGAGACCCGTGCAGTGCCTTGGGTCTAAAATGGACTCAGCGAATGTTTGTTGATTGGTGAATGAATGAAGAGCTTTAAACATTTTGCCTCCCCCTTAGTAGAAAAAGTGGTCTCCCTAGATGATTTCTGGAGAGTTCATTTAGCCTAATGGTTCTATGTTGTCTGTAGGTATTTATAATACTCGTTTCACATAGTGAAATGTACTGATCTAACTGACATGTGGGGAGCCTACTTTATAATAAAATAATTTTTAAAAAAGATAGGTAACTGGGTGGAAGAAAGAAGGGTTTTGAGAAACTGGTGATGGCTTGTAGAGGAGTGCACTCATTTAGATTTGGAAAATTTTTCTTTGTGCAGTACACATTTTACTTATGTAATGTGAATTTAAGTTGTATCATTTTAATATGGTCTTTATAGTGGTTACTGCCTGTGTTTCTGGGTGGTGTCTTAAAATAGTAGTGCTTTGCTGCTGAAACAGAAGATTCTATTAAAGAAAAAACTCTTGTGTAACAGATGTGTTTGGTCCTGTATGAATCAATGTCTGTAACAACGGCTTTTACATAAACGGAATTGGATGGCTAGAAAGCCATTTTCATGTTCTGTTAGGTTCTTTAAAAGGGGGATATGTTCAGGTTTCAGTTGTGGAGGCTGTTGAGCAGCGATCCAGGTATGAAAATGGGAAAGGTTTGACTGCCTCTCTTGTGAAGAGAAGGAACAAGGGCGAGTGGAGAAAGAAGTCGGGGAGAGAGAGGCAAGTGAGCTTCAAAGCGATTGGTCTGCACCCGCTTCTGTTCTCCTCTGCTCTTCTGATCTGTGTGTTTCTGCCCCCTGCAGAAGGAATCAGCCTGACGTTTTATCAACTTTTTTGAAAAATGGGGTGAAGTGGTGTGGAACACATCAGAGGGGTGAAGTGGAGCAAATCTGAAAGAGAGCAGAGTGTTTCATCTCATACCCTATGTGTGCGCTTGCCCCTCCTTACGGAGCCAGAAGCGGCTGACTTGATGTCCGCCCAATTTTAGTTCATCTCGCTACCTTCATGTTACACTGATACTAATACATTTGAAGTAAGAGGAGAGCGGGTCCAGGCAGCGACGCTGTCAGGCACAGTCGTGCACACTCTGCAACCACAACCACACAGCGTTCAGGGTTTGCTTCGAGTTGGACTTACCACAAAATGACCTTTATTGGATTTAGTGTATAACTTTCAGATTAATTAGTGATTTTATATATACACGACGTCATTTCTTTGAATGTTCATATGAGTTTATTAGGGGTTTCCAGAATTATCAACTAAGTCTGGGTGGAAAAATGTTTTACGATGAGAAATCATTCTGGTAACTGTAATAAAAATGGGGGTGATAGCAACTGTAAATGCCAGCGAAGTCCTGGGTGCTGGTGTGTGTGCGTCCTTGAATATGTGCGTGTGGTTGAAGGAAATAATCCGTCAGTCATGGCTTCCTTAGTATTATGTGTCTCTTCATAAAACAACTCAAGAGTTTTCACATGGAAAATAAATCAAGACTTGAAACAGAAATTTTAACTTGTTAGTGTTCCATTCAAATTGAATTATGTACAGCTAATCATTGTTTTTGGATGCCTTCCAGAAACAGATGGGACCGTCTTCAGAATTCGCTCAAAAGCCGAAGGACTTACGGATGCGGATGTACCCTTAGAGTTGGTGTTCCATTTACCGGTTAGCTACCCCTCGTGTCTGCCTGGTGTCTCGGTTAACTGTGAACACCTGACCCGGGCCCAGTGCGTGACTGTGAAAGAGAAGTTACTTGAGCGAGCAGAGAACCTTGGATCAGAACCTATGGTTCACGAGCTGGTTCTCTGGATTCAGCAGAATCTCAGGTACATCCTCAACCAACCAGAAACTGGAAGAGGCAGTGAGACGTGTGCTCTTGCAGCAAGCACGGCCGTGGATGATGGACTGTGGGTAACTCTTTTACATTTAGACCACATGAGAGCAAAGACTAAATACGTCAAAACTGTGGAGAAGTGGGCTTCTGACTTAAGACTGACGGGAAGACTGATGTTCATGGGTAAAATAATACTGATTTTACTACAAGGAGACAGAAGCAACATCAAGGTGCCAAAAGGTTTAATGTTGAATATGAATTTGGGTATTTGCTGCTAAAATGGTGTCTCTCTTGTGTGTTTTATAACAGTGGGGCAGATGAATCACCAAGATGTTTCTCCTTCATTACCGTGTGCATGGATCTCCATTTTCTTTTTTAAGAATGTGTTTACTTCTAATGACAGCTATAAGTTTGTAAGGCTTGAAGAATAAGTATAAGGCTATCCAAAAAATCATGCCACTTAACAAAAGTGATAGGTTATAAAAAAATCTCTGTGGAGCATGAGTGTTTGTTTCTGTAATTAGCTTCGAGCCTCAACTTCATAAATGTGCACCAGAAGTTCCTGCATATTTTTATTTCTTTCCTTAGTTAGGCACAGTGAGGTGTATATTTGTGGGTAGTCTGCAAAAATTTTAACTTTTTAGCAGTGAAAGGTGCATTCTGACACTTTAATTTGGTATCTGTGATACCTGGAAAGAGGAGCTGGTCCCTCCCAGCCGGGATTCCGTGTGAGTGGGAGAATCATTAGGGCTGGCAGCATGTCACCTCCTACCTGACATCTGCTTTCCACCTGACTTGTCTCAGCAGCTGCTTTCAAAATCATCGTCTTCTTCAGATTTTTCAAGTTCTCATTCTAAACTCATCTAACCTGTTTTATGTGGGACCAGACGAGGAAAGCTGCTTGCTGTATTTCAGATCGTAAAAGAGCTACAAATCACTTAATAGGTTTTATGCTTTCAGATGGGTTGGGTCAAGAGTAATTACAATCGAATTTATTTAAACAGCTTTAGCTTGCACAGTCTATGATCGTAAAGATTTGTAGAATAACTACCTAGCTTTTTCATGACTGGCTCTTGTCACAAAACTAGTTTGGCATTTGGTTAACCAGATTAGTGAGGGGTTATAGCATATAGACACAACGAATAATTCAGATTTAATATAGGTCCTGGATTGAGTTCTGACCAAGGAACAACATATTTTAAGGTGATTTATAGTAGATCTATAAAACTTGATCCTTTTGGGTAAAATGCTGGCTGACGAAATGAATACAAATTAATTTCCTTACTCCTATTTCCCCAAAAGGCTCGGATTTTTCTTTAAGCCAGCTCAGTCATGCACGTTAGGCTAAGTGCAGCTGTTTCACAAATGCTGTTACTCAGATTGGATCCATCAGTTAATTAACAAGTATTTATTCATGTGACTAGAACTCTGCTAATGTAGAGAAATTGTACTTTTTTTTTTTCCTGAGGAAGAGTAGCCCTGAGCTAACATCTGCTGCCAATCCTCCTCTTTTTGCTGAGGAAGACTGGCCCTGAGCTAAAATACATGCCCATCTTTCTCTATATGTGGGATGCCTGCCACAGCATGGCTTGCCAAGCGGTGCCATGTCTGTACCCGGGATCCAAACTGGCAAACCGTGGGCCGCCGAAGCAGAATGTGCGAACTTAACTGTTGTGTCACCGGGCCGGCCCTGAGAAGTTATACTTTTTAAAGAATTTTTTCTTTTTTATTAGCTGTCCCTAAAATGCCATTTAATGTAAGGATCTCTCTTAAATTTTTATAAGATTGTATATCAGGATTGATAGATGCCATCAATTTGGAATGGTAAGTGCTCTGTGCCTGTTAACTTCACGCAGACACAGAAGCAGTAATGGTAATGACAGTAGCTGGTGGTCTTCAGTGTGCCAGGCACTCCTCTCAGTGCTCTGCGTGCGTTAACTCATTTAATCAGCACAACTTCCCATAAGGTAGGTGCTGTTTTGAGTATTGTTTATGGAGTAGGGTACTGAGGCACAGAAGGTTAAGGTACCCAGCCCAGAATCAGACCTCGTAGGCTGTCCAGATTTATTCCTGCATAGTTCGATGACATCCTTCTTTACTCCTGTGTTCCTCAGTACTTTATGCTGCCAAGTACGTGAAAACCCTGTGTAACTTTCCTACTGCTTGACTCAGAAAGATGGTATTCTTTCAGCATGAAAATAAGTCTGCAGGTCTAAGGCTCCTTTAAAACTAGGACTTTGAGATTCAGAGTAAGATACGTATTTAACATACTGATTTATCGTTTAGGAGTACCTGATTCTTCAGAAAACCTCCAAAGTCGATGTGGACTCAAGTGGAAAGAAATGCAGAGAGAAAATGATTAGTGTACTCGCTGAAACAAAAGTACAGACAGAACACAAAAGGTATAATTTAGTACTATTGCAGATGGAAAAGCAACTGAATGGGTAATTACACTCTGACAAATCTAGGCATCTTCATGAGTTTCTCTTGTATAATGCAGGTTTCTGGCATTTGAAGTCAAAGAGTATTCATCGTTGGATGAGTTACAAAAGGAATTTGAAACTGCAGGACTTAAGAAGCTTTTCTCCGAATTTGTACTTGGGCTGGTAAAATGAAGTGGAAGATAGGAATCATTTAGTAAAACAGCTGTGGTTTTTTTGCATTGGGTTTTGGGAGTGGCTAAGTGAAATACTCATAAGGGAACAATTTTAAAGTTTCTCTGAAGCAAAATGATAGACACCATCCCAACTTCAGGAGCAAAAGCCAATTCTGTTTATGGAATATTAAATGGTAAAAACACTCCTGTATTCTAATTTTTGCCAGTAAAGCCTAGGTTCAATAGTTGGAATGTTATTTGAAAGATAAATATAAGAAGATGATGATAAATGAGCTCTTGTGTTTATATAGAGGATTTGTTTGGAACTGAGCAATTTTCTGGCTAATTTTCTTGTAATTAAATGAATTTTTAAAAGCGTTGTTTTCATGTTTACTTTTTTCATGTTTACATTTTTAGCATTTGATCACGATTTTCCCCCGTTCAGCTTATTATGTCTAATGTTTTAAGTTGAATGTTAAGAAAAATATAACACTGATTTCTTTGTGGAATTGCGTAAATCGTTAGTTTAAATACAAACCAAAGAAATTCTATAGAACTTGATTTACAGTTGCTTTCTTTGGGGTCCCAGAATAGCATGGTACTTGCTAGTTATAGGACTAGAGAGTTGACTTAAATTAAAACTCTTTTTTGAACAATTTTCCTTCTAGTTTTATAAGGGAAGAAATGTTTCACACAAAATGAACTTGGCTTGCTGGATGGAGAAAGTTATCTAGAGGTAATATTTTTTATTTCTTCTGAAATTGGTTAAAAGTATGGTGATCCTAAAGTATATCTATCATGACCTAAGGAGAGAAGAAGCCATATGATAAAAGCTTATATTACAATGTGTAACAAAAGTGTAAGCAGGCATTTATATTTGAGAAAGGATATTTGTGTGCATGAAACCACCTGTGCTTCTGAAATAAGGGGCCCAGGGATGGAAGAGGGGCCAAAAGCAGATCCCTCTGACTACAGTCTGTGAAGTACAGTGGTGTCATTATGAAATTAGGACTGTCTGGAGAGAGAAGTGAGGAAACGTTGGACGCACCGAGCAGCTTTTCTTGACAGTGCTGCTCTGTGGCCGTGGCAGGTCCATCTGATTGTCTCATTTTCAGGCACTCTTAGAATTAAATTATACGTACCTGTTGATCATTTCATGGGGTTCTGTTAAGGAGGGAATTTTTGATTCATTTTATTTCATTTCAAGGTGTTTATGATTTTTTTTCCTGGAGAACTGGTAAGTGTAGTTAGGTCGTTTTATGGCACCAATATGCAAGGAGAAGCGACACTGCTGGCATGAAGAACTGAGGCTTGGAAATTCTGGGCTGGTCATTATTACCCCCTTCATTTGGTTTATTAAAAATAACATTAAAAGTGATCACCATCGTGGCTGTCACAGTAGCAGTAGGAGGAGGTTGGGTCTGAATTTTATCACAACAGAACTGCTGGTCCTCTATTTTCCCTTGACTCTTCTCTGCTCAGTTGTTTGCCACTTCATACTTTATGGTACTCCTCCAAACTTTTATCTTCAAATTTGACTCTCTAGCCTAGAGAAGAGTTTGAATCAGGTAAAATTGGATGTTAGTAATGACTTTCTCCAACTTAATTAAATTTCTACCTGCTCAAATTACCTTAGAAACAAGTATTGGTTATTATTACTTTCTTGGTTGTTTATACCTAAGTCTTTCACAAATATACACATCAGAATGCAAAACTAACCTTGACAGTGGTAGAGATTTATATAAATTTAATTTGATCTTTGGATAAAAAAATTTAAAATTATATGACAAAAGGCTGTAAGAGTTTCTTTGCAGTTTGTTTAATTTTAGTATTAAAGGAAGAGAATCTTAATTGTTTCCATTGATATTTTTGCCTCAAACTCTGATGCTTTCTTTTCAGCTTGAGGTACTTATGAAAAAATAATTGGGACTTCTGGAAGATAGAGGAGGTGAGGCCAAGAGCTGGGACTCCTGAAAAGCTACACTGTAGGTGTAAGAGTGAACTGTGTATAAACCAGTTGTCCTGGACTATGGCTAAGCTTTGAGGATTCTGGCAAGTGCAAAAGTCTTAAACTTTGAACTTGGATTAAGGTAGTCCATGATTCTCAAGTTCTCATATCCTTCAAACCTTTGGAGGAAGATATCATCCTAGGTGTCAAATTTTATCTATGAATAATTTTTAAATTCAATATCCAGCTAACAATCAGGGGTAATTGGACTCATGAAGAGACAAGATACTATGAGTGAGAAACAGCAGAAACAGTAGATGACAGAAATAGACCCCCAGGGACTCCAGATGCTGGAATTATCAGACATAGATCATGAAACAGTTACACGTAATATCTTCGTGGAGGTAGAAGTCAAACTTGAAACTGGAGTTAGAAACTGTGAAAGGTGACATGGCATATTTGAAAAACAACAACAACAAAATAAAGCAAATAGGAATTCTAGAACTGAAAAATGCAACAATTCAAGGGGCAGTTAATTAGTCAAAGTCCAACTAGGAAATCAGACAGTATTTCAAACAGTAAATTTCAAACAGAAATTGGTGACAAATGAGAAGATCTGGAAGAACAAAATGGGGAAGGAACAGGGCTGGATGACGGAAGGAACAGGGGAGGGCAACGGCAGTTCAGAAACTGCTAAGAGCTGTACCTGCTGCTGCCCTGTTGGAGACTGCTGTCATTGGTGCTAGATCTGCTGCGGTGGTCCAGCCTTCCCCTAAAATTGATGATGGGCAGGGTCTCTGACCTGTTGGAGTTCAGAACCACTCCACCGCTGCTGCCACAGCAACAACTACCAGCGACGACCACAGTGCTGCAACCTGTACTGCCTTCTGACCTCCAGCAGTGCTTCCTATTGAGCAAACCTAACAGGAATCCAGCTGGCAGAGAAGTCTGGGAAATTTGGGTTGCATATCCCAACCCCAGGAGAACAGAGCAGAATATAGGAGGATGGTAGTGTGTGTGTATGGAGAGAGGGGAGAGGGAGCTGAGCGCCTATAGTAAGTAACCAGCATAACCTTCCGTTTTAGCTGTTAAGCATCCACACACCACCTTCTGCCTGTATTTAAATTTCTGTACAACAACAACAGTTTTCTGCTTCTGTCTATGCAGATTTAACTGTCTTTTGTACAAATGAAGAAACTCTCACCTACCCCCAAAGGGGAGAAATAAAGTCGCATCAGTTTTTATTATCCTTACTGGTGTTAATTCTTCTAGTTCAATCACAATCCCACTTGATATTCTGTAACCTGAAGATTAAACTGTAAAGTTCAGTACCACCAACGTTTCTTATATAACTTGATAGGGGATGGGGAAGGAAAAAAACAGTTAATGTATACAAAGATATGCAGAACAAGCAATGAAACAAATTTGCATAGCACTTCGTTTCCATAACTGGTCATGAAGTTGTAGTTGATGTTTATAACTTCTTCCTCTACTCCATTTTTCTCTGCTCTTGGCTAGCAGTTTAGCTGTTCAAGGCTCTTTACCTAGTAGGGTGGCTGAATCTTCATTGTGGACGGATCTGAGTCCTTAGTGGTTGGGTTGCTTATTAACTTTCACTATTGAACAAGAAAGTATTAACAGGCAACCCAGAGAATCCCCTGGCTCCTGACGTAGTTCTTGTTGACCCCATTGTGAAGCAGTAACCCAATTTCCTCGTAATAATCTGTATCAATCACCCAGCCATTATAGGAACCTTTTTCTTTGCTTGTTGGTTTAGTGTCATAAGGAACCTAATATATTCAGGTGTCAGTCTCAACTTCAAGTTCATTTGAACCATTTTGTGTGCCTTGGTAGAGACATTACTTCCGTGAGAACTAAGACTGCCAAACCAGCGTAGCCCAAGTTTACAAGGAATGGGAATAGAAAACTCTGTGATTGGGTTATTAAATATAGCCCTGAGAGAAATCTGTCCTATTTTTATTCCTTGGTTGCTGGACCCATGTATCCTGGCAGTGAGAGAAATAACATCATGTATTGATCACTGGTTCAAAGTATGTCTGTATCTTGTATTATAGCATCTCAGCCTCTCATGGTCACGTCTCCCAGCTGGCCTGATAACTGAGTCTTAGTGGGTCATTGTATTATTCTATCAAGGCAGCCACTTCTGGATGATTTTGTACATGGAAAGACCTATGAATTTCATAGTCACGAGCCCATTGATACATTTCTCTTGTGTTGAAATGAATTTCTTATTTAGAAGTTACATTGTGAGAGATACCATGTCTGTAAGATCATGGTTGGTAGTATTAGAGGAGGTAACTTTGGATTCATATCCAGAATAAGTATTTTCATGAGGACAAATTGCTGGCTCTTCTACTAGAGAAGGGATCCAATGTAATTAATTAGCCACTAGTTGCTGGTGTCTCCCAGGAAGTGAGGCCCTGCAGGTGGCTCAGCCTTGGTCTCTGTTCTTAGCAGATTAGGCACTCAGCAGTGACAACAGCAAGGTTAATATTTGTGAGAGGGATTTCATGTTACTGAGTCCATGTATAACCTCCAACCCTGCTGCCATATTTATTTTGCACATGAGCCACTTGAACAAGCACTGGGATGCTAGGGAAAGAGAGTGACTGACGTCCACAGGATGAGTCAGCCTGTCCATTTGATCAATGAAGCCTTTCTCTGAGTGATTGCCCTTTGGTATACGTCACATAGGACACAAATATCCTTGTATTCTGTGCTCATCCTGAGAGGTTCATTCACATACCTCTGCCCCAGATCTCCTTGTCATTAGTCTTCTGATCTTATTCTTTCAAAGATCCTAACTACCTGGCCAACCTATTAGCTACTACCCATGAAATATTATAGATCCACAGCTGTGGACATCTCTTTACTTAAAGTAGACAATCGGAAGTGCTGCTCTAAGTTCTGTCCACTGAAATTTCTCTTCTATACCTTTCAGAGACACTCTAGATTAGAATGGTAATTGCTGAAGCATATTGTGAAGAATGATCCCTATTCCAGGCCTGAGTTCCTTCTTCAGTTAACAAGTTATGGGTACTCCCCAGGACACCATAGGTGTAGACTGAGGAAGAAGCTGCGCAGGAGTAGTTGCTATAGGCATCTCGGCCACTTGATCATGCAGCTTGCTTGAGCCTGATTTTGTACACATCACTTCGTTTTATGTGCCCAACTTTATGACTTCATGGATAAAATAGTACTCAGTTCATGATAGGTAGCTCAGGTCACGTGGGCAATTGGTGTCCCGTGATCAAGTGTTCAATCTCATCTAAGATCCAGTAGCAAGTAGGAGCTCTTTTTCAAGAGAAGGATAATTATCTACAGAAGAGACCATGATTTGATTTAAAATCCTAGGTTCTATTGTGCTTGTGAGGGGCTCCATACAGCATCCCCACAGGCCATGGCTAATTGAACACCATTGGGTCTTCTGGGTCATAAGGCCCAAGCAGCAGGACAGCTTGTACTGGCAGTCTGGATCTGCAGCCTTTTCTTGCTCTGGGCCCCACTCAAAACAGGCAGCTCCAAGGGCTCATCAGTAAATGGGGCAGAAAATCATATTCAAATATGAAATATATTGCTTCCAGAATCCAAAGATGCCTAGGAAGCATTGTACCTTAATGGTGGGAGTACAAGGTAAAGCACCTTAGCTTTCACCTGGGGATATGCTGGGATCTACCTCAAAATACTGGACCCCTAAAAACTTCACTGTGTTGGTGGACTTCTGAGTTTTGATGAGTTTTTATCTCCCTACTCCTGATCAGGCATTCAGAGTACTTACTACTTTCTGTGTACCAGGTCCAATTGGCATGATGTTCAGTGGGATGTTAACACAAATGAAGTCCTTGAATATTGAAGTGTAACAGAGAGCCAGAGAGATGATATGGTCCTCGAGTAAAATATAGTCCTGAAGTGAAAGTTTGCTAGGTAAAAACAAACTGCTTTTAGTGGTCTTTGCAAATTCAAACAGAGGAAAAGTATTTGCCAGAACTAGAACACCAGTATCAAGAACTAGACACCAAGTATCAAGGGCGAAGTGGATTTGCTGCAGTGTAAGACCACATCTGGAATAGTATGCATAATTGGAGTGAATTACCTACTTACATTTGATAATCTGCAGCCATTCTCTGAGACTCATCTGCTTCTGCCAAGCTCAATAGGTAAGTTAAATGGGGCTGTTATAGGAATCACACTTGGAAAGGACAATCTTTTCAACACATGGCCCTGGAACAATTGAGTACCCATATGGAAAAGAAATCAAATTTTGCTCCTACTTCACATCATAACCAAGATTGATTCCAGGTGGAATACAGACCAAAATGTGAAAGGCAAAAATATTTTAGAAAAAATATAGAAAAATATTTTCTTGACCGTCAGATCCTACTCTTAAACAGGACACAAAAGCAATAATCTTGACAAAAATATTGGTGAGTTGGACTCAATTAAAATTAAGAACTCCTGTTCATCAAGAGATATCAATAAAGATAATGGGAAGGCAAGGCACAGAATGGGAAAAGTTGCTTAAACACATTTAACTGATATAGGTCTCATTGCCAGAATATTAATAAGAAACATACAACCCAATAAAAAACTGGGCAAGAGTCTTGAACAGGTATTTCACAACGGAGACCATCCAAACGGCCAAAAATTGTATGCAGAGATGAGGTAACGCTCAACCTCATTAGTAAGCAGGGGAAATGTAAATTTAAACCACAATGACACCACTAGCTACTCACTAGAAAAGCTAAAATTTAAAAGATGGATAATAATAAGAGTTGACAAAGAAGTGGCACAGTGGCAACACTGATACACCATTGGTGGGAGTATAAATCAACCCAATTACGTTGAACAAACAGTTTCGCATAATCTAGAAAAACTGACAGTTCCATACCCTATAACCCAGGATTTCTTCTTTTAGGTATGTACCTTACAGAAATGTGTGCATATATGTATGAGGTTTCCTGTATGAGAATCTTAATAGCATTATTATTTTTAATAGCCCAAATGAAGCAACCGAAACATCCATCAACATAGAATGGACAAATGAATTGTGGTATATTCATGCAATGGAATACTATAGAGCAAACTAAATGAGTGAACTATAGCCACAGAACAACATGGTTTCATCTTAAAAAAGCAATATTGAACAAATGAGGTAAACACAAAAGAATATATATCATATTCTAAAAGTTCAAAAGCAGGCAAAATGACACTAAATTATAGATGCATACTCAAGTGCTGAAACTCAAAGACAAGCAAAGAAGTTTGTTATAATAAAAGTTGAGACGGCATTTACTTACAGGGGAAAGGATGGGGTTGTGGTTGGAAAGAGGCACATGAGGGGTTTTTGGGGAAAGATGGCTATGTTCTACTTCCTGACCAGGGTGCTGGTTCCTCAGACTTTCATTTATAATAATTCATTAAGCTATGTACTTACTTCAATGTATATTTCTGTATTTCTTCCCTTATCAGTGTAGTTTTGGCTTTAAAAAATGCCAGAGTTATTTCAATGTTTTTGGTAAATAAGAAAAGTAAAGATAATACCTAAATCCTTGTAACAAATAGCAATTTCTCAGCCACATACAAAGTTGTAAGGTAGGTGCAGAAGGGTAGGCTATTTTTTTTAAGTTTTTTTTTTGAGGAGGATTAGCCCTGAGCTAACATCTGCTGCCAATCCTCCTCTTTTTGCTGAGGAAGACTGGCCCTGAGCTAACATCCGTGTGCATCTTCCTCTACTTTATACGTGGGATGCCTACCACAGCATGGCTTGCCAAGCAGTGCCATGTCCGCACCCAGGATTCAAACCCGTGAACCCTGGGCCGCTGAAGTGGAACGTGTGACCTTAAAGGCTACACCACTGGGTCAGCATGAAGGGTAGGCTATTTTAAGTAAAGTGGTTAGGGAAATTTTCTCTAAGAAGATGACATTTAAACTGATACCTGAATGAAAGGAACCAACCACAGGAAAATGAGGCAGCAGAGAATTCCAGGCAGCAGACACAGTAAGTGTAAAAGACCTGAGGCCTGAAGGAGCATGGCCTGTTTGAAATAGTCAGAGGCAAGATGGCCTTTATGGGAAGGAAGAGTGTGTGGGGTGACGTCTACAATGTATGTGCACAGTGATAGGTTTGGAGAAGGACGGATGTAGGAGCCAGATCCTGTTGAGTCTTTAACCCAACGTAAGAATGTTTTTTTGCCAAGTGCAATAGGAATTCATTGCCCTGGAAACAGT